GCAAGCAGTTTGGATTTCCGGCCCTTATGCGCCAGTTCCATCAGCAGTATGAGGAGTGGGTCTGGTTGCCTGTGGAGAGAAGTCTTTCTCGTGGTAGCCTTGAGCAGACCCGTCAAGTTCGGGAGAGCGTAGAAGGGATGGTTTGCATGTGGGATGGGGCTGTACGGGTGGGGTCTCATTCGGCTAGTGGTGTAGTAATTCTGACCCCGGATCGGGAAGTTGTAATGGTAAGAGGGACACAGTTTCTTTGCTTTGATGATCCTGTGGTGGTGGAGTTGGTTACTCTTCGTGAGACGGTACTGTGGTGTCAATCACTCGGATTTACGGAGGTTAACTTTGAAGGAGATGCTCAAGTTATCATTGATAAAATCAACAAGGCGGATTCTCGAGATAGTCGGTTAGGGGCGGTGTTGGAGGAACTCATTAAGATTTTTGAAGAAAGCCCTGGGTTTAGTGTTAGATTTGTGGGTCGGCGTTGCAATAGGGTAGCCCATTTGGTGGCTAGAAAGGCCCTCTCTTTGTATCCGACCATGAGTCGTTCTTTTGATTTCCAGGCCTGGCTGAATTCCAGGATGTAACTATCGGTTTTGATCAATATAAGATTATCTTTTGTCAAAAAAAAAAAAGTGATCGTTATATCATATTAAAATGATTTTCAAATCGAGCTGATTGCATTATTCATTCCAAAAAAATACCTTTTATACTCATTTATTGAATTTAACTTTACTAAAAGATTAGTGTAGTCCGTTCACTTTAATATTTTAATCTTTAAAAGGTAAATTTCAATTTACCTCTCATTACTTGGATACCAATTTCTTTAATTTAACTTAGATTAAAATATTGGTTTAGTCTCTCCATTTCAAATTGTTTAAAAAAAATAGTTCTTTAAGTTTTAAGTTTGTCTATTTAACTCCCATGACATGAAAATTTGTGTGTTTTTTTAAAATGAAATTGTAACTTAAGTCTTCAAAAATTAAATAAGTCAATTTAACTCCTATAAAACACATTTTATGTTTTATGAGACATTTGAAATTAAATTATCTAAAAAACTTCATTGTTTATATTTTCAAAACTTGGGCAAAATTTTAATTTCGAAATAAGGCCTCCCGAATTTATTGGATTGTCCTGGGTGCATATTAAGGTGACTTCCCGAGACGTCGCTCATTCTTATAATAAAGTTTTCATTTCATCCCAAAACGACGTCTTGTAAGTTTAAGGGTGGTTTCTTACTTATGAATCATGAATCTCTCCCGTACTTTGTTGATGTGGGATTTGCCCAATGTGTTACACGAGAGTTGTTCGTCTGATTTCATACCAAACCGTTAAAAACCTTTAGGTCCATTCCTAGACGTCCAAGCAAATGCACCAAACCGCTAGTGTAGCTGGTTCAGCGGTGGTACTGGTCCAGCCGCTACTCTGGTATTTATAAGTGCAGAACAAGGTACTTTATTTTAAACAATTGGCCCATTAGCTCAACTGGTTAAATCATTCTGTTTTACAAGAAAGTCGCACGTTCGAGACATGCATGAGGCAGTTATTTTTTGGCAAAATACACTTGTATAGCCATAACTTTCACGTTTGTGACAAATATAGCCATAACTATTCGAAAACACGAAATAGCCAGGATTTTGAATGTTACATGCCAAATCTAGCCATTTTCGTTACAAACTTTAACTGTGTCAATAACTCTGTCAGTTAGGTTAACGTTAATGTGCCTAGAATACCAAATCATCGGACACATAAGCGACAACTCATCCACACTTGCCACATAGATTCTATGTCATATTTTAATTAAAAAATTTAAAACTTAATTTATCTTTCCTCTCTCCCCCCCCCCCCCCCCCTCTTCACCACCGACCTCTTCTCCTCCTTCTTCTTCTTCTTCTTCTGATAGTCTCTGGCGACCACCTAGCTGCATCGGCAATGCCACGTTTGGATCTTGACCACCCAAAAGTTGTTCGACGCATTACGCCGCTCAAATTTGAGATTGGGGATCATCGTCTTCCGCCGCTTCAGTTCGATAAGCAGTCGTCTTCGGACTTGTTCTGCCTCTCTCCAGATCTGCTTTGCACCCCTAGTTCCGTCACCGCCAACTCTCACCCCTAGCTCCGGTGAACACCAATTCCAATAATTCCAATCTCAATCTTTTTTGCGCGCCTCTCTCTTGCTATCCTCTGCTCCCTCCGTGTCACCGTCATCGGAATCCCGAACCCTTTTCCTCTGAAAAGGGTTCAGCAGTGAGGCAGAGCAGTCCAGCCCATCATCGAATTGGGTGTTGTTGAAGGGAATAGGGTAATCACTGGAAACCATCTAGTGGGGCTGCAAATGGGAAGACGTCGGCGGTAATCCGGCGGAGCCAGAGTGCAGGCTCACAACGGTGACGTGGGTAGGCAGGGGAGAATCTCTAGATGGTGGCGGGACGACGGCGGAGGCAGGGGAAGAGGGAGGGAATCAGGAGGGAAGTCGGTCTTGGTCGAAAGGGCGAGAGAAGAAGTCTTGAAAGATACAGTTTAATTTTGGTGGTGGCGACGATGATGTTGATTGCGGTTATGGACTTATGATTGTGGTTGTGGTTGTGGTTGTGGTTGTGGTTGTGGTTGTGGTGATGATGGTAGCCGACGGGAGTGGGGCATTGGTCGTGGGAAGAGAAGGGAAGACGGAGTGATTGGGGAAGACGGATCTCAACATTTTGGGATTTACTTTTTTTATATTTTAATTATAATTATAATTTTATGAGCTAGATTTTTATTTTATTTTTTTGTGTCCATCAGTTGGTGGGGAGAGCGGATCCCATGACTAGGGGGGTCCTTAGTCACTTGACTAAGCCCCTCCTAGCCATTAGATCTGGACACTTCAATCCAATGGTTAAAAAGTGGAAAGGGCTATTTAATTAATGACAGTGGTAGTTTGGGTATTATGGAAAATTACGAAGTATACAAACCGGATTTACAATCAGTACAAACCATACAAACATACGAACAGTACAAACTAGAGGGACAAAACATACAAACAGGTCAATACAAACTAGACCAACAAACAATACAAACCATACAAAAAGAAAAAACAATGGGTTTACTTTGGAGACTCCATCCCTATATAGAGGGGCTCATTCCCAAAGTCAACCCGGGTCTTTTTTAGACATACAAACATGATGGACAAAAATGACAAACTAGACCAAAAATTCATACAAACTGGAAAAACACCCAGGTTGACTTTGGAGGCTTCATCCCTATATAGAGGGCTCCGTCTCAAAGTCAACCCGGTTATTTTTTAGACATACAAACATTACGAACATGGTGGACAAAAATGACAAACTAGACCGACAATCCATACGAACTAGAAAAAACACCCGGGTTGACTTTGGAGGCTCCATCCCTATACAGAGGAGTTCCATCCAAAAGTCAACCAGGTTGTTTTTTAGACATAAAAAAACATTACAAACATGGTTGACAAAAATGATAAACATGGTGCACAAAAATAACAAAGTTTACAAACATTACAAAAAAAACCCGACAAACATTACAAAATAACAAAGCGTACAAACATTACAAAATAAACCGACAAACAGTACAAAGCATACTAACCGTACAAAATGTCACTAAAAATTACAAACAATACAAACTGAATCTATACAAAATAGGTTAGCAAACATCACAAAATCCAACACTGCCGCCGGGAAATTTCCTCCAGTCGCCGGAAATCTCTCTCTCACGAAACAAAGAATGACCAGGATACCAAGGAAAAAAAGAATGGAATAATAATTCTGGGAAGAATGGCCAGAAGGCCAAGGAAAGAAAGAATGGCCAAAAGGCAATGGAATAAAAGAAGAGGGCCGCCGTGGTGGGTTTTCCGAGACAGCAGCAGGTAAAAGAAGAAGAAGCTCTCTGATGGCGGTGTCTACAGCGAGGTGAATGGAAGAATTGGGGAGAGAGGAGAGTTGAGGAGTAATGGTGGTTCTGCAACAACAACATCTGAAAATCTCAGAAGAAGAAGAAGAAGAAGGCAACGGGGAAGAAGAGAATTCGGAAGAATTATTTCCACGCCACCGGAGAGAAGGATCGGCCGGCCAGAAGGGTCGAAACTCTCTGGAAAACATACACAGGCCGCCGGAGAAGGAAACGGATCGGCGGCTGGATTTTTATTTATTTTAATTGGTAAATAAAAGTTAAATAATTAAATTATTATATTGTCCTTCATTAAATTGGATTAATCAGGACCATTGGATTTTAATGAGATGAAAGGCCTGAGATTCACTTAGTCACATGACTAAGGGACCCCCCTTAGTCACCTGATCATAGCTCGTTGGTGGGACCATAAATTGCCAACTCAGCATTTTCCATTAGTCCAGTTCAAGGTTGTCACGCCGGCCGGCGTGCCACCGGGTTCAACCGGTACCGGTCATAAAACCGGCATGACACCACCGGTATTACCGGCATGATCGATATACAATTCTCTAAGTAAAATGACCTTATTTTAGAGAATTTAATTGATAAAAATTGTTTTATTATGTATTTTATGAGTATAAAAGTTAAATATTGATGTTATTTGTTGGATTCAAGTATAAATGTTTAGCTATTGACGTTAAATGTCATGTTTAAATATGAGTATTTATAATTTTATTTGTAATATTGACTGGCATGAACCGGCACAAACCGGTATGTGCCACCGGTTGAACTATTCCACTTGCTAAACCGGCACACTGGCATAAACCGGTTTGACAACCTTGGTCCAGTTACACCGTCAACTGACGCCGTTAACGAAATGGACGAAATTGATTATTTTATATTTTCGAATAATTATGACTATATTTGTCACAAACGTGAAAGTTATTGTTATGCAAATGTATTTTGACTTTTTTTTAACAGTTTTCGTTTTACAACATACTGAGCTGCAGATGGTTTTGGACTTTAATAACAAGACCCAATTGAAAACAATGGGCCCAGCTTTCTAACTTTCAAGAAGGCCCAACAACAAATGAGAAACACGAATCCACCAGTGCGCGTGCACTTGGCGCAATCTCAAGCTTCGTTCTCTCTCTCACACTCTCTCTCTCTCCCTCTCTCTAGTTTCAATCAAAATCCAGTCTCTTCTCCAGCTTCTGATAAACCCTAGATTTTTCTGTTTGGGGATTCCTTCTCTCCTTAGCTCCTCCAATAATTCCCCTACTTCATGAAATAATACCCTTCACAATTCAATTGGTGGTCGGCTCTTTCGATTGAGTTGAAATCCTTTTTTACGCCATGGACGACACCGAAGATGATGCCAGGTACCCACCAAAAGCTTACCCCCACAGTCGCGCAAAGAAGTCGCCTTTATACTCCCACCGTCCGGTGGCCACTTACTTCAACCGCCGCGATTACGTGGAGGACGAGGAAGACGATGCCGACGACGATTTCGAAGGCGAGAACGGCGTCGACTCCGACGAAGACGACATCGGCAGAGGATACCCCAACGATTTCGAGCAGAACGAGGAGTTCGGGAGGTACCCCAAGAGGCAGAAGCTCAAGAAGTTGGCCCAGAATTACGAGTTCGTGGCGCGAGCCCCGAGGATGAGCAACCACAACCACGGGGAAGCTGATTTCGCAGGCGAAGGGTGGAGCGAACAGGAAAAGTTCGTTCTTTTAGAGGTTTGGGGGGAGAGATTTCTGCAGTTGGGCAGGAACAGCTTGAGATCCACGGACTGGACCGAGGTTGCTGCGAAAGTTTCCGAGGCGTTGAAAATCCAGAGGAATGAAGCTCAGTGCAGGCAGATGATGGATTCGTTGAAGAGAAGGTACAGGAAGGAGAAGGGCAAAGGTGGGTTGAATACGAAATGGGCGTTTTATAGAAAGATGGATATGCTAATGAGGCAAGAGAATGGACATGTAGGGAGCAGTAGTGGTGGGTTTAGTTTATCTTGTGGTGTGGATTCAGGACAGTATGTTTTTATGGATACTGGAGTGTATTTGGAACGTGCTAATATGAATGATGAGATGAGGGATAGTCCGTGTGAATCCGACGAGGAAGATGAAGAGGAAGAAGAAGAGGATAAGGGGGAGCTTAGTGGTGATATGTTCAAAGGTTTGCCTGTGTTGGCGGATTCAGTTCATAAGTTTGGTGAAATATATGAGAAGATAGAGAGCAGTAAGAGGGATCAGATGTTGGAATTGGAAAGAATGCGGGTTGATTTCCAGAGGGAATTGGAGTTGCAGAAGGAGCAAATTTTGGAGAGGGCTCAGAGCGAAATTGCTAAAATCAGAGAAGGAGAGGAAGAGGAGGAGGAAGACGATGCGGAGGATGATACTGGTTCGGATTCTGATGCTGATGGTGGTGGTGGTGATAATGAAGATGGGGCAGGGACGGAAGGAGACAATGGCAGTGGTGACAATGATTCGGGTGTGAACGTCAGCGAATAATGTGAGTAATATTATTGATTATGTTCGTTGAAAGTGTTGTATATAGCCTCAAGTTTTGAACTTTAGTGCGGAGAAATATGGTGATGCTAGTGGTGTTCCTAGCTTAGCTATTCTTTTTATGCTGTTTTGGATTAAGGGCTTGGTGTTGCAGGCTTGCAGCTATGTGATATTTGTGTTAAGTGATGAAATTTGATTTCGTATGAAATTAATGAAAGAATTTTCCACGCGAATTAGTTATTTGACATTAGTATGTGCAATGTGGGGATCATAGTTAGGAACGGATAGGAAGATAATAGAAAATGGGAGAATTGGTGTGAAACATATTGGTTCAGCAGCAAGGTTCCATCAAAATAGATGATGAATCTTGATTGTTTAAATTGAAAATCCAGTTGAGACTTGAGTGCTTGTTGGGCTGTCGGTTTTGAACTCTGCTCGTGTATAAAACTGATATTAGCCATTCATAATGCTTCCTATTAACATAAAACTTCTTAATTCGTGCTAGCAGTGTTCCCAGATGCTCTCATTTTTAAGTAGATATTTTATAGACAATAAAATATAGTGGTGAATTGATATTCTGTGTGTTTGATAATGGCTGGGTCAGGCATTTAACACATACATGTCATTATAGTACTAAAATATCTCTCGGTCTGGAGATTGAATCCTGATATGTGCTTTAGTCATTGTAAACAACTGCAGTTTTCTCGTTAATTGTAGGAAATTCGTGATTCCCTTACTTTTGGATGATGAAGTGAATTACAGCATGGTAAGCTTTTGATTGGTTTTGTTTGATCCATTACATTCTTTCAACATCTTTCTGAACTATGTTGTGGCCCGTATTGTACTTCGATACTAAACAGGGTACTCCAAGTGTGTTTAACCTTCTGAATCTGGACCCGATAGAGATGCAGCTGAGGCCTGAAACGGTGGTGTTCTGAAGAAAAAACAGGCTCTGGTTCGTCGCAACGCGGTGTACCTCAATCCTCAGAAGCAAAAACAGTTAGGACTTAGGGGGTTCGTTCCATGTATTGCAATCACAGGAATGGAGATAGCTTGGCTTTCCAGAGTCTTGATTGCACGGGAAGTTCTGCAATGACCATAGTTCAAATAGCTAAAAATTTAACTCTTCTGCTGCTGTTCTTCTTATCTTTTTTTTTTTTTTTTTTTTTTTTGCACTTCTCATGAGCCTTGTTTCAATGTTCTTTGTTGTGCATGTATGATGTAACCAATTACTAATTATTCGCCTTCGAGAATTCCACATGGAATCATGATCCTAGACCTTCAGAACAAAAAAAGATTGGAACTGCTGCAGTAAAAGAATATCTGGATTCATTATCGTTATACTGAGATGCCTAGAATTTACATGCAAAGTAGAACACAACGTTCATAACGGTGTCGAAAACCAGCATGAAAGAATACATAGAAACCAACAAAGAGACTTCCCAAAAACTGAACCCTCTTTGTACCCTAACCTCAAACAAAATCTCCACTATTGTAAACCCTATGTTCCCTACCAAGCTCATGGCCAATGCCGTCTGCTGGTTTTTTACTGTTACAGTATTTGCCTCAACCAAGGCCTTAAACCCACAGCAATCTGGCTCTAGAACAGCTGCAACCTTAGCCAGATTACCTAAAACTACTATATATGCAAACCCTAGACAAAATGGCACCCCAAGGACTCCCAGAACTATTTGAAATCCCATGATCTGTGAACACAACCCGCATGCAGATAGTATGATTGGTATTGTTGCCAAGCTAACTGCAAAAACTCCCCAAAGACAAAGTACGACGATGGATTCACATAGACTTGTCTGGAGAAGGTTGAACCAAGCTTCCCCACTTCTTAGGAGTATCCGTCTTCTATCGAGACCGACTCCATCGTAACTGTCGGAGACTGCCTGAATTGTAGCCGCTTTCCCCAGGAGCAAGAAGGTAATGGATGAAGGGAAACAGATGATGACCCGAAGAGATGCCTTCAAAAGCAGTTCGAGTAGAAGGGGAGGAGGTCCATAGCCTCGAAGCAGGTTGGCTGTGAAGGGTGTCAAGTAGGGGAAATGATGGGTGAGGAAGTGGGAGATGAAGAGTGAGATTGAGAGAGGGGAGAAGAGGAAGACAGAGATGGAGTGGAAGTGAGTTGGATGAAGAAGCAACACTCTAATGGATTCCTTCACTACTCGGGTTGCGTTGAGGTGACGGAAGGAGTCGAGGATGTGGTTTGTTCCTCTTCTCCTCGGCATCCTTGTCTGCAGAGACAGAATTGGTAAAAGCTCAGAAGGGTTTTTTGGCAATGAGCAGAAACATCAAAGCTTCCTAGAGTACTGTTAAAAAGGGTCTCTAAAACACTGGGTAAGCCATGTGCAGGCTCGTGATTGATTGGCATTAAGGTACAAAGGATAATTTTTTGTTGCTTCTGTTTGAATGTATAATGATTGAAGTTGGTGTTTGTTTGTTTTTAATCCAAGCAATTTGGCAAAAGTTTGTAGTCTAATAACCACAGATGAAAATGGGTCCCCCTGCCTATTTGGAAAAGCCTTAATCTGTGGTCTTTTCATGCAATGTTGTCAGTAGCAAACCTCAACCAAACAAAGTAAAGCTCAGTAGCTAGCAAGTAGGAGGAGATGGAGATTAAACTTTTGGGTTAATTGCATGGTTGGTCACTAAAATTATAAAAAAAGTTTATGTTTAGTTACTAGAAATATTTAATTTCGTTCGTAGTCATTAACTTTATATTTTCGTTTCATCATTGGTCACTCTCCGTCCAACTCCATTAAGTTTGTCTTATGTGACAGTCAACTCTATTAATTAACTGTTAAATGAATGATGTGGCAAATAAAACATAAAAAATTTAATAATTTCCACCTCGGCGCGCACAGGTACATGTTCTGACCGTAGTATTTCTTACTATTCTCACCGTCGTCGCCTACGATCACGATCTCCACCAGCTTCTCCCGGGACACCTTGACCGCGACGGTAGTCTCAAACTCGCAGTGGACCAGCTCCAGCTTCTCCACATTCGGCATGGACTCGAAAGGCTTGTGAATGCAGCGCTCCGGGTCGGAATACACCGCCACGGTTCGGGTTGAGGTGGGGATCACGCGGAGGGAGGTAAGGTTGGGAGTTTCGAGGACTCGGCGATCAGTTTGTGGAGGTCGAATTTGGTGGAGATTTCGAGGTGTTTGACAGTTGCGCAGAGGGAGGTGAATTTTTGGGATGAATGGATTAATTGTGGTGGTTAGGGTTAGGTCGGTGAAGCGGAAGGTTCATGCGCGGTGGGTTGAGCCGTAGGAGTAGATCCGGTCAAAGAGATCAGTTAATTCAGGGTCGTGGGCGGCGAGGGAGAGGGTGGAGAGGTCGACGAAATCGGGATCACGGAGGGTGAGGATCTTTTCGACGAAGAGGCGGAAGCAGTTGGCGTCGGCTGGAGGGGAGGAGGTTTGGAAGTGGAGGGAAGTGAGGGTTGATTTCCAGGCGGTGCGCCAGCGGGTGGAGAGGAGGGTGGTTTGGACGGCGACTCGGGTATCAAGGTCTGCGGAGATGAGATCCGGCGGAAGAGTTTGTCTAGCAGGGAGCTCAGGCGGTCTCCGGCGGCGCAGGTGGGAAATGGTGGTGTTTTTAGGGGAAGTGGCTAACGATGGGCAGGTGGAAAATATTAAAAAAAATTATTTTTTATTTGCCACATCACTCATTTAACAGTCAACTAATAGAGTTGACTGCCACGTAGGAAAAACTTAATGGAGTTGGACGGAGAGTGACCAATGATGAAACGAAAATGTAAAGTTGATGATCACGAACGAAATTAAATATTTCTAGTGACCAAATATGAACGTTTTTTGTAATTTCAATGACCAACCATGCAATTATTAGAGAGGTCAAATTGTTGCAATGATGAAAGTTGGGAAAGGAACTAAAAGGAAACAGATGGTGGTTAGAGACATAATTGCATAGTAGCTATAGTTAAACTGAAGACATCCAAAAGAATCATTTAGCCCCTTATCTTATGCAAGGATGTCATGGAAAAAATCCCAGAATACACTAGTTAGTAAAGAAAATTCCCTAAATACAGTACTTATGAAATTATTTCCCAAAATACAGCAGTTTGGGCATCACCACTGTGGACCAAGACAGTGAATAACATCACCGTTGTTGAAAAAAACGGTGAAGTGTTCACCGTTTTTGACAAAGGCGGGGAAACTATCACCGCCTTTGTTTAAAACGGTCAACCCTACACCGTTTTTGTCAAAAACGGTGAAATCTTCACCGTTGTCGTCCAAAACGGTGAACTCTTCACCGCTATTGTCCAAAACGGGCATTCTTTCCCACGTTTTACAACCCTGGTAGGTTGGAAGTTAGGTAACAGCGACTTAGAAAATGGTTCACCGCTATTGTCAAGCGCGGTGATTAGGCCCCAACAACTCCTATAAAAACCCAGCCCTCAGATTTCTCCTGCTGTCTTACAGCAATTCAGTACAAAATTAGTGTCTTTTTGGTCCTTTTCTCCGTTGGCTTACAACAACAAGAAACTCACCGGGATTCGGTATGTTATAATTATTATGTATTGTTTACATGTTGATGTATTAGTAATTATATGTCTATATTTAGTGAATTTCGGTTATTGGCAAATATGTTATGCTAGAGATATTTAGATGAATTATGGTATGATTAATGTTAGTTAGTTATGAATTTAGATGAATTTGGATAGTTTTCTCATGATAGATCAGTTAGTTGCGGTTGTTAATGGGTTTGGATGATATTATTTTTGTATCCCTAATGTACTAATTATACTATATTAATCTTATTCGAGTTAAGCTAATAGTTACTTATTGTAATTTGCATACATGGGTAAATTTAAGAAGTTTCAGCTTATTATTCGGTGGAATGGTCGGGTGACAAACTCGGACTTTGGGATCGACTATGAAAATGGCGAATCCACTATGCTAAAAATTGAGTCGAGATTCACATGGCAAGAACTACGTGACATTTGTGCAGAAAGGACTTGTATGGAAGGGCAAAGGAGAGTTGGTCAAATTACTTACTGGTATCCAAACATGAGTGCTAGCGGAGTTATGTACGAAGAAGTTGTCATAAATGATGATGACGCGGTGAACATGATGATACAGTTCCTATCTGACAACGGGATGCGGCTTGCAGAAGTGTATGTCGAGACCGAGCCGGTCGGTGAAACTCATTTTCACCAATATTCTTGTGATGATGATTTTGCAGGAAGGTACGGCTGGGGTGGTAGTTCAAGCAACATTGGAGGAGGTAGTTCTGTAGGAGGCTACGACTAGGGTGGAGGTCCAAGCAACTACGGAGGAGGTAATTATGCAGGAGGTATTGGGTGGGAAGAATATCCGCAAAATGCTGAGACTGCCCCATTCGTTGAGCCCGACGGTGATCAATGGCCTGCTTGGGGGCCAGAGTGGGCTGACATTGAGAACCACCTTCGAACTGGGCGTACTTCACATGACCGAGAAGATGAGGTTGGTTATGTTGGTAACGATGATCCTCCTGAGCCGAGCTTTCCATTCGCCTCCAGCGACGAGGAAAGTGAGGAAGATTTGAGATCAGTCAGTGAGGATGAAGATACGGACGATATCAAGGAGAGGAGGTGGCGTTCCGTGAGGCACCAACGCCTTACTACACAGAGGTTCCATCTCAATTTTTATATAGTCAGAACGATCCCCCTGATTTTCGGCCTATGCCTGTGTATAATCCGACTGCCAATTTGGAGGTGGGTATGGCGTTCACTTCGAAAGTCGATGTTCAAGATGCTTTTATTGAAGAAGCCATGCGACGCAATTTCAAATGGAAGGTAAAATATTCTCACACCAAACAACTACATGTCATTTGCAAAAATGCTGGAGAGGGCTGTTTGTGGCAACTGCGGGCTTCAAATATGAAGAGAAAGGGTGCCTGGGTCATTCGGACAACAGAGAACAACCACAGCTGCTCCTCAAACATACTGTCCCAGGATCACCGGCAACTGAAAGCAAAGAAAGTGGCAAGAACCATTAAGCACTTGATCGAGGCACAACCAGATATTAAAATCAAAGCTATCATGGCCGAGGTGAAGGATCGACACTCCTACACGATCAAGTATAAGAAGGCGTGGCATGGGAAGCAGAATGCCATGGCTGAGGTATATGGTGATTGGGACGACTCGTATGCTTTACTCCCTATATTAATGGCCGCAATGGAGGAGTCCAACCCTGGGACTGTTTTCGTGCCCTGTTACAACAATGTATACACTGAGGATCAAGTTCGAGTACAAAACGAGTTGATGTTTCATCGTCTGTTCTGGACCTTCAAGCCATGCTTTGATGGTTTTGCAACTACCAACCATGGCGAGAGCATAAATTGAGTCTACAAGGGCGTTAGGGCAATGCCTGTATCTGTCCTAGTGGAAATGACGTACTGGAAGGTAAACGAGTGGTTTGTGAAGCGACTTCAGCAAGCTATAGGGAGGGAGCGTGCTGGTCATGCAATAGCACTTCATGTCGAACAGGACATGTAGAAGAAGGAGGAGAAATCAAGTAAGCACAGAGTTGTTCTTTTCAACCGCAATCAAGGTGTTTTTGCTGTTCAAACAGGTATCTGGGGAGGAGGTAGACGTGGGCACAATCGTCAATCTGTGACTCTACACGTAGAAACTCGCACCGGTGAGTGTACATGCCAAAAGTACCAAAACACAAGAATCCCGTATTCACATGCAATGGCAGTATCTAAGTCAATAACCATCATCCCTTACAGTTTGGTGAGTCCTTACTACACCGAACAAGCGAGCAAGAACTCGTACTCGTGCAGTTTCAACCCCCCCCCCCCCTCCAGATGAAGCTTATTGGCATGTAGACAATGGGAAGTTGATAATCCCACCGTTGCACTTAAAGCGCACCAAGGGTCGTCCTAGAAACGAAAGGATTCACAATGAGATGGATCAATCACAACGTGCCAGCCATGCATGCGAGAATTCACTAAATTAGATAAATTCACTAAATTCACTAAAATACTAAAATTGCATACTTGGATTGTATCTAAATTCACTAAAATAACTAAATTCTCTAAATTCACTAAAATACTAAAATTGCATACTTGGAATAAAATTAGCATGTAAATTAATCTTACTTGACACCATAGGGGGGATTTGCTAGAAAGCGTAGCTCCTCATCTGGACCCCAAAATTTCCGCGGGCCTCGGGGAGCGAACATTGGAAGATGCTCCCATGCCCAGAGTTGGAGTATGAACATCGCACCTCCAACTTGTTTCGCTCCCAACCTCGAGCAAGTGCACAGCTCTCGGTAGATCCCAGCTAATACGACCGACCCCCAACTCTTTCCCCTGATCTCGTCCCAATCACCGAGAAGAAACGTCAACCACATGCCTTGAATCCACCGGTTTGCCTTGTCGGGGAACAGAAATCCACCAACCAATCCAATGAGGTAGACGCGTGCATATCGCTCCACCTGATCTTCGGGGGTGTCTGGCCCTAAATTCACCTCCTGTTGGATGTGTTCAACAACCCACGAGATTGAAACTTGCCCCGCATTGAGCGGTGGATGCCCAACCCCTTGAACGGGCGTTGTGGTCGGCATGTTGAACCTCAAACGCCCGAGAATCAACGGCCCCCAACCACCTTCGGGTTTACTTGAGTTGTCGATGATGGCCTCTCTAGTGACCGGCAGCCCGGTGAGTAGGGCAACATCTCTGAGGGTGATCGTCATTCCCCCCTCGGGAAAGTGGAAGGTATGCACTTCGGGGCGCCATCGCTCTGCCATTGTCGTAAGCATATCGTTGTCGATATCAAGCCGCATGAAATGCCTCAGCATGTGCAATCTCGTCCTCTCTAGATAGGGCTCGAGACGAGGATGCCAATTAGGCAATCGACATGTCCCTCGATGACTTATGGGAATAAGTGATTCCTACAAAACAAAAAACAAGACAAAAAATACAATGTTGTTAGAAAAGAAAAAAAAAACTTTTAACCTATTGAAATAATTTAAAAATTTATACGGTATAGATAGAGTGTCTACCGAATTATTGTCCCAAATTGCACGGGAGCGATGTTGTTCTTGCTCGTTTTAACATTTGCGATCCCTTGGGCTAGGATCAATATACAAACGAGGGTCGTATATCTCAGCACCCATCTATAAACAAATATGAAATGAAATTAGAATATTTCAAACCCATTTAAAAAAACATCAACAAAGGTGGGGGAAAAAATTCGTACTCTCAAAGCCTCTTCGTCCATTTTTTGCCGAAAAGCTGGAGAGAGTATCTACGACACTTTAGAGCATAAGATTTAAAGCAAAATAAAAACCCTAATAATTCTTTCTGATGTGGAAGATCGGACTTAGCCGCAACCACAAAGTATACTTAGAACGAGACTAGAGGGAAGTAATGGAGGGAGAAAGAAGTATAAAAGTGGTGGTGTGGGTTGGAATGAGGGGGGATGGGGTGGTATTTATAGGGGGGCCACAGAGCATTCACCGCTCTCGTCCAAAGCGGTGAAGCGTTCCCCGCGATTCTCGAGGGCGGTGAATTGCGCGGATCGCTGACGTGGATTGGCTTGAGGCGTCGGATCTGGGAGAAAAACCAGAATTTGCGCCTCACCGCATCTGACGGTGACAGTGAAGGGTGCGGACGACAAGGATCGATGGCGTGGACAGTGCGGGCTATCACCGCTTTTGTTCAAAACGGTGAAGTGCCGCGCGTGTCCACGTCAGCGATCCGCGCCACTTCACCGTCTTGGACGACAGCGGTGAAGGGTTCACCGTTTTTTACCAAAACGGTGAAGGGTTCACCATTTTGAACAAAGGCGCTGATAGATTCCCCGCCTTTGTCAAAAACGGTGAACCCTTCACCGTTTTTGTCAACAGTGGTAATGAAATTCACTGTCTTGGTCCGCAACAGTGATGCCCAAACTGTTGTATTTTGGGAAATAATTTCATAAGTACTGTATTTTGGGAATTTATTTTACTAACTAGTTTATTCTGGGATTTTTTCCGGATGTCATCTGGGTAACAAAAACGTTTAAGTTGTGTTTTGATCTATGGATGAGGTGACGTTGACACTTACCAACTACGTTTGTGAAACCCTACCATATTACAGTCCAATCGAAAAAACCTCATATAGAAGTCTAAATCAATAAATGATTTTTAGTCGTATGAAACAGCTGAACCATGGTTTCAGCATGAAATATCGCGAGCGTTTCCGGTACAACTTCTGACACAATTTCACAATTTTTGGTTTAAAGATTGTGGTTCACAATTTCACAATCTACTTTTAAGTTGTGTTTTGATCTATAGTTGAAGTGATGTTGAGTTTTTGACACTCCGCAAGCGTTTAAAGCAATAAAGTCCTATCAATATCAGTAGCCTAACCGAAAAATAGCCTATTGGAGTTTAAATTAGTAGGTACTTTTTAGCGTTATGAAACGGTTGAACCCTTGTTAAATTATAGTTTCAGCACAAATAATCTACCGCTAACTTTTCAAGTACAACCTTCAGTACGATTTCACAATCCTTGGTTTTAAGGGTGTGGTTCATATTAAGGTGAATCATTATAAGTACTATAAAAAAAACGAGGATCATAATCGAATCACAAAATCATCCAGTTGTACGATTCAATTCATTATTTTCAATTTTATTCATATTTATTAGAACCCAAAACTAAAAAGTCATTCAATATGACAATCAAAACTCGTCAAGAAGTACTTCAATCGTTTTCGATTAGATCAAAACATCACTAGTTACTTGTGTATGTATCATATATACACTCATTCAGGTTAGCCAAAGTAGTACTAAAACTAATCTATTTTTTGCTCAAAAAAATTACACACAGCCGAACAAAGATTGAACCAAAAATTTTCTACCTAAACCAAAAAAAACTGGCCCTCTAAATCTCAAGCTCTGGAAACAATTCCTGCTTGAGAGAAGGCGCAATCCACTGTATCTGAATATACGTAACCTCAAACAGATCAGCATCTTCCTTCTGCACCAAAATCTCATCTCCTTTCATCCTTGTAATCATCTTCCTCAAAAATCCTGGAATCACCTCCTGCAGCTTGGCCTCACCATAAACCCCAAGATCAGCCTTCATACAGGTATCCATCCTCCTCAACACGCCCAGCCAGAACGTCCTGAACCCGGGGCTCGCCGCAATCTGCTTCAGGAACTGCAGGTAAACATCCGTCAGCAACTCCATCGCCAGCATCAACGTCCCTTCCATGCTCCTCACTTCCCTCTCGGCCCCTTCCCGCCTCGAGTACTCGATCATCTTCTCGTGGAGATCGTCCACCATCGCGAACACCACAAGGTTGAAGCAGTTCATGCAGTTGGCAGGCGAGAAGTCGAGTTCCTCGGCCAACTCGAAGCTCCTCCAAAGAGACTTGATCGCGTGGTTCCTTATCTCCTCCCGCCTCGCCAGACTGGTTTTCCTGAACGCCTCTCCCAGCTTGATGAACAGGTTGATCGAGAACGTCGACGGGCTGAATTCTGGGTTGCTCCCGGTGCTTGCTGTGCTGAAATTCATGTTGATCCCCGGGTCGGAGTAGTTCTTGTACCAGTCGACTAGCAATGTGACTGATTCTGCCAACAGGTCGAGAATCTTCAGGTTTTTCTCCAGGGGGCTGTTCTTCAGGGCGACAAATCCGAATGTGCAGTCGATGCAGAATGGGTAATTCGTCCTAGAAACATGGGTTTGATCGGAGATCAACATGATCAGCGTCTCGACGCTTTGATCATATGTCTCTAGATGGCGACCGGAGACCGATAAGAGATGCAGCACCGATTTCCAGCCCAAAAAGCTCTGCAAGTTGGCAGGGTACTCGATCAGGATCTTGCTGACGGACTTGGTGATGGATTCGCAACACGTGTCGAGAATCTGCTTGTCGATCGTCCACATCAGGTTGATGGATTTGAAGATGAGCTCTTCGGGGAGCTTGTCGAGTCTGGCGGAAGAAAGAAGCTTGAGGCATATTCTGAAGAGCGCAATTATGACTTTCTCTGCAAATGGGATCGCGGAAAACAGAGGGAAATGGATTGCTTCGAGGAGATTGTCGTGATACGAAGGCCAGAAGTCCTGCAATCGGTTGATGTTTGCGAAGGACAGGGCGGCGATCAGATCCCAGCAGAACTCGATGGTTTCTTCTTCCTCGATCGGAGTAGCGAATTTCTGACCTTTTCCCGCGGAGGCGAAGATCAGAGAGCGGCCGAGGTAGAGCAGAGTCTCGTTGGGCAAGTTCCAGCTGTTTGTGAAAATGCTTCCAATCTGGCATTGCTTGATCACCTTCCGATTCTGCTCGAATTCGTTGAGACCGAGTGATAACGATTCCTCCATGCTGTCTATAGAGAAAAAGTGGGAGAATTTGCTGATCATGGTGGTGGACCGCGATCTTTGATCTTGAGAGGAAGAAGGAAAAATTACTCCTCCTACTCCTCCACTGCCAACGCTTCCGTTGTTTTGGGATTGTTCCGAATCGGAGAAGGAGCTGTCGAGCTCGATCACCGACGAGGGGAGAAGCTTGAGCTTCTTCAACTTCAACAGGCAGTCTAAGATCGGTCTCCACGCGCCGCGAATCGCTCTGCCGAAATTGTTCGCGATGCTGAAAACTGCGAGAACGGCCATTCGAGGCTTCAGGTCGTGGCTGAACGCGAACAGAGTCTCCTCCGACGAGGCGTAAGGGTTCAGCAGCGTCGTGCATTTGCAGAGCGAAGCGAGCATCTCGTCGAGAGCGTCTTCAAGCCCGTACTGAGCAATTCTGGCAACGGAGATCAGCGCTTCGACACACTCGTGGAACAGCTCGTCCTCGTCGGCCTGTTCAAAGAAAGCGGTGAGAGCCGCCACCGCCGGCCCGGCGACAGAGGAGAACATGTCCCGGCCCAACCGGCGGTCGAAATCGGCGAGATAGAATGGTTGGAGTGTCTTCGAAGCGCTCATCAGCTCGACCCACAGCCCTGGGTTCATCTCGGGCTGACCGCCGGTCTGGCCGAAGAGCGAGATCGCCTTCCTGGAGATTGACTGGAAAAGCTCAGATAAGTACTCCCTCGGCAGATCCTCCCCGGCGTTGATTGCTCTGTTGTTCCGGATGAACTCCTCCTCCGTCATCTTCTTCTTCACCTGAGGGTTGTGCTGGTCGGTATTGAGCATGATGAGAGAGTAGCAGAGGACGAAGACCGAATCTTTCCCGGCGAAGATGTCAGAAGGCTGTTGCTCGTAGAATTGCTCGGAAAATGCTTCGAGGATCCTCTGGATCTTCTGCGACTCTCCGGGCAGCCGGAACGTGGCGAGATAGGTGCGGAGGGCCGTGTCGAGGATCATGCCGGAGAATTCGAATGTGCAGGTGAACTCCTTCAGAACTTGAATGTGGAAGTCATCAGGATCGCCGAGGTAATCGCCGATCATGGTTTTGTCAAGCCCCGGGGTGAGCCGGAAGAAGAAGGCGTAATCTTTCGGGTCGGGCTGGTCCGGGAACATCAGGCTTAACCGGAGATACTCCAAACCTTTCCTCTCTTCTCTGCTGTAATGGTTCCCGGCGATTACGAGCTTTCTCTTCTGTGCTTTCCTAGTTCGGAGGTATGATATGGAGGCTTCGCTGCCGTCGAGCGGCCTGTCCATCCAGAACTTGCTATACTCCGTGATGTGAACCGGGTAAGGACCCAAAGGTGTGGAATCGCCTTCTCGGTTGATGTTCTCGGCGATGTTGTGGATAATTCCGACGAGACCTTCGAATGCTTGAGCTTGCAGTGAAGTGGACGGGCTGGCGCCCGGGGACGAGAGCTTGCAGAGTAGCTTTGCGGTTTCCTCGAACACGTTGATGCAGACCGGGTCGCAGTCGTAGTTCACGTAAGCTTCGATGATGAAGGTTGGTTGCCTGCAGAAGTCGATGATTCCTTCAATTGCCACTTCCTGGAGCTGAGCTGAGATTCCGGCGGATGCCACTCGGAGTAGCACGAACTTGAAGAAGGCTTCCAACTGCAGACGAACAAATCTGCAATCCCAACATGAGAGAAAAACCATTGTCCCAATAAGCGGAAGAAATCAAAGAGCTATTAAAGGGAAAGCCAGACTTGAATGCTCCTGACCTGCGCAGGAAATGGTAAATGTTGAGCACGGTGCTGCAGATCATGGACAAAACGAGTGGGCTGGAGGAAGTTCCATAGTGAATCAAATGATGGAACAAATCATCCTGAATCATCCTCAGAAGCTTTGGATGATTGCCAATGGCGTCTCCACTGAGCTCGATCGCCGAATTGATCAAAACCAGGGCGAAAAGCTGAACATCCTCATCAGAAGTCCTGTACAGATTCCCTTCGCTCTCCACAACTTCCACGACATTGAGCAACGAGCAGAGGAAATGGAAGATGTCCACCGCGCTCCGGATCCCATACCCCGAGTCCAGATTCCCGTCGAAATCAGCATCATCGTCAATGTCTGTCTCCAATTCCTCCCCCTGTTTCACCTCGATGTCCTGGAGCTTCGAGAAGATCATCCGCACCAATTCGTGCATCGTGTACCTGTTGAGAAATCAGAATACAGTGAAAACGGTTGTACATAATATAATACTATGCGTACTGTGAATATTCTAACAGTACCTGGCGCTCCGCTGCAGCAAGTCGCCCCTGCTCGCCGACTGCTGCACGACCTGGAAGCAGGTGTTGACGACGGTGCAGACGGCCTGGTCGGCGAGCAGGATGGCGGTTCGGTGCTTCATGATCGCCGTTAGGATCTGGAGGATCCGCATCATGACGGAGTCCTCCGAGACCGGGTCGGTCCGCTCCAGCCGGCAGCACGTGATTCCTATCACGACGGAGTTGATCGCGTCCCTGGCCCCCGTGGTGCGCTCGTCGAAGATCCCGACGGTGAGGATCTTGAGGACGGAGCAGAGTGCGATGGAGGTGGCCGCGGCGGGGATGTCGTCGGATTGAATGGCGTCGAGGAACGGGGTCAGGTAGACGGCTGGGTCCATGGTCTGCCAGTCCTGCGGCGGGTTGAAGATTAGGGTCCGGAGGGATTTGAACGTGTGGACCAGCGCGGTGTCGGAGTTGTTTTCCTCCTGGGAGAGGAATTGCGCCGCCGTGGGGTCTGCCGGCGGGCGGCGGAGCACGGCGAGGACAGAGGAGACTTCCGTGTTCAGCATACAGGAGATCCCCAGCTCGATCCTCTTCTTCTTGCTCTTCCTGTTCGTCATTGGCTCCGCCTCCATCACCTCCATTTTTCTTCTCCGGCAACCGATTCCGAAACTTTCTCTCCGGCAATCTTTCAGAGATCAATATTGGAGACGGGAATCGTCTGGATTTCCATGTTGGGAGCGGATTGAACTGATCAGGATGGAAATGTTAAGAGTGGATGGTCGTAATTGGCGGGGAAACTGCCAAGTGAGAATCCTGAGAGAGAGGAAACTGCCATTTATAAGGTTCTAAGCTTTCTACCCATGCGAAAAGCCACCATTTGTCTGTGCCAAAGGAAGCCATTAACAATGAGCAACAAAGCCTAATGGCAAGACTGCAACCATAGTCAGACCCCATTAATTTATCAAAAACACCCACCTTTGGAGCTACTTACTTGTTTTGTTTCTCTTCTTCCCTTGGTCACTTCCCCTGTACACCCACACTTCACTCTCAGCCGGCCATGCACACGCCTGACTCAGTGGAGGTCTCACTATCGCTGAATAATTGTCAGAGCAGTTGTGTTCCACATCCAATTGCGGCAATGATCTTTTTAGCAGAGGAGGTTATCTATAACACTAGCATATTAGCGGGGAACAAACTGAGGGGATTATGAGTGTGCATACCATCAACCTAGAGAGATGACCGACAAGACCACCATGAACTAATAAAGCTAGGTCTTGATGCATTATACTGTCAAGTGCACTATTCAATGGGATAGAAAACCCTCCAAACAAGTCCTTTAACTGGATCAAATTCCTTACTTCAGATGCATCAGCAAAACCAGTAGTAGCAGGCAGTACGGGAGTCAACTGAGGTGCTGTGGGACCTGAAATATAGACAAAGGTAGAGGGAATGGGTTCAGTGCAATCCAAACCTTCATGTTAAGCAAGGATCCATTAACTATTCACTAGATTGTTCAAGAAAGATAACTGGTTAAGGTCACACTGGTAGTGCGGCTCATCAACCATGCCAGCAACAATTCACGGGAAATCCAGGAACATATAAATGGAATATTGAAAACACAAGACTAACTAGGGAGTGGACCAAAAAATATATTATGGCTAACCCCGACAAGCAACAAAAATAGATGCACAGAAACAATTTTTCATTCTCTGAAGCAGCAACAGTGCTTTTGAGAGGTAACTGCACGCACCAGTTAATGTGTACTTCCTCTGCTTTACACTTAATGAGATAAATGAAAATTACGACACTTAGCTGACAATGAGCCTGGACGGATATTTCTAGAAGTGCGGGTCTGAAGACAACCAAAGAAGCTCCTTTTATGATCTTCATTTTTCCTCGGTGTCTAAATTAACCTATTCAAATGCCATTGTTTACTGAACCCCACATCCAAGATTAACAGAAAAAAAGATGCTTACCTTGACTTTCATATATAACTTCTTTAGGCCACATCTGCAATAAAATAACAAAGGAACAATCAGATCACACTGTGTATTTCACAAGATTACCAGCTGCACTGCATCAGCTTTAAGTTTATCAGAAATGGATCATACTTGCATTAACAGTGCCCCCAAATCAGAAGAGCAAGCAGCATCTTCTATGGAGCCAATCCAAAATCGCAGAGCAGCGCAATCAACAAAATCAAATCCATAACTCATTCCAACATTATCCAGCCCATGATTTTCCTGATGACAAAACATAAAACAACTGTACAAGGTTAGCAAACTGGCTGATAGCATCGGCTTTAGTGGGTACTTGGCATACACCACATGATAATCGAAGAATAAAACACATACTTTAAGTAAGAAGAACAAATCCATAGATCACAATCCTGTTAAGATCGAGTAAAAAAATTAATTGACAAAAGCATAGAATAATTTAAGCTTTGCATCCTTAGGAAATACAAAAATGGTCAACTTCATCGTGGAAAATTGCAGAGATATTATCGTTCCTCTAGGACCAAGAAGACTGACAGCAGCAGTCCCATCATCATGGAAAGATAACCCAATATTTGGTTATTGAAACTAGCCCCTCAATTGCAAGAAGATGAACAGCATCTGGCCCAATGATACCATCAGTCCTAGTTGCTGGAGAAAGAACCTGGACTAATTTTTCTGGCAATTACCTGTTTAATGTCAAGGGTACAAGTGATAAAAGTTTTCCAGGGAGAAAAGAGCTTAGAAATATAATCTAGTTCTCTTCTAAATTAATGTGATTAAACATACAGAAGTTCAACCCCTGGCCTTTGCTTAATCAGATGTCTCCGACTGCTCCACTCTCCCAACTTTATATCTTGACAAAGATTATCGAGAAAAACAAATCAACTCCCTCAGGCAGGCAAATAAAACATACAGAATGATAAACAATGAGCAAGAATGTCATTTCCAGTAAATTTAAACTCATGGAAACGAATCTCGAGTGCCCTGAGCACATTTCTTTTTCTCTTTGCTAACGCATTTTTTCAAACATAGCAAACACTGATATTTGAATGTAAACCTTGGCCGACAAGGTAGTTGACTAGTTCTGTCGAATGAAATCAAAACAAGTAATCCACTAGCAAATAAGCTCATGCCGGCATTGTCCAAAAACATGCCTATAGGAATTTCTAATTCTCTCAATGTAAGATTTTGGATTTCTCAGCTTGAAATCTGTTAATGAATGATGAGTGTGAATTTGTATGATCAAGGAAAGATAAGTAGCAGCCACTAATTGTAATTTTCAAGCGTGCAATTTCCCAACAGTAACTATCTTAATGACTTTATATTACCTTGTCCTAGAACACGTTCTGACTCATCCTTGGGCTGAGACTAACCCAAGAACCTCAAAGAAATATCCGACTATAATTTCACAGAGTTACTGTTTGCTTAACCCCCCCCCCCCCCCCCCCCCCCCCCCCAAGCAATGAGTTTCTCTATAGCATCATAGATCCCAAATTCGGATATTCTAACCTGAGCTCAAAATGAGTTACCATTTCTGAGAAAACAACTATCAACAGTGTCTACAAGTAGCAGTGAGGTATAAACTCATATGAAACTTACTTGCCAACATTTCCAACAACACTTAAATGTTATTTTCCAATCAAGCTCCCTGTGACTAATTTCAGCATTCAGCTCATAGAGCTTCCCATGTAATGGATGTGAAGTTGCAGAGTTTAGAACACCAGAGTTAATTGAGAAATCAACATCCAGCAATCAGTCAGAAAGATGCAAAAAGGGACTTCAAGTTCGTATATACGGTTTGGTTATCATGTAGATTTGGTTGATAAGTAAAGTTCAAGACTAGACCACATCATTGAGAACGCATCAAAAGAATGAGATAAACTGACCACTGCAAAGAAAAGTAGAACCACCATGTACTGACATTCCCATATTGCTTCTGAGATGCCCTGACATCTTCCTCAACACGTCAGATAGAATGTAAAGCTTCTTTTTTGAGATAAAGAGAATGATCAGGCCTCCTCCTCCTATTAGCATCCTTATGTCCAGAAGGGTTAAGCCATTCAAACTAGCTAGCTAAATCATCACACATCTCTCCCTGATTCTTCCCCAAGGTGGTGGACCGTGGTAGAAGTTTAGCTCTCTTGCCATTAATCCAACACAAGGAACAATCATCCATGTCACCTAACTTAGGAATGTCTTCATGAATTCGCTGTAGTCGCCAAAAGAGGGGTTGCTAATCACGTGTCTCAGGCCACAGGCCACCATCATCTATCATCCCTATTAGAGAGTAAGAAACCTCATAGCTTATCGGAGTTAACGACACTATCTTTTTACTGAATTCTCATCAATGGTTCCTCGTTCACAGGTTCCTGCAATACCACCATCCTCCCTAAATAAACTCCAAAGCTCAATTTGCTGGCAAAACTAGCGCATTCAATAAAGATTCACATCTCGCAGAAGAGCCAAACCCTAGAATGATCCAAATAAAATTGGAAAAGATAAGAAAGTAACACTGGCAAATGGCGACGAACGCTGACTTGTTAGGAGTTAACCTGTTTGGAACCTTGACGAACTTGTGCATAATACTGCTGGAGAAGAGCGAAGAACCTCCGCCGTTGGCACTCGCAGAGATGGTTTGCCGGTGGGATCTGACGCGGCATCTTCTCCGGCGGTGTATCAGCTCCTCCTCGGACTTCACCGGATGAGCTCGCCACAGGCTGACCGGGAAGGCGGTAGAACAGATTCCGCTCCATCGCCGAGACATTTTGGCGCCAAAATCCGCTGCCTCGCAATTCCAAATTCCCGCTGCCGACGGGGAGGGCTCGCAAGATGTGAAATGGGGTTGTCACAGTCGTCAATCTCCACCGTTCAATTTGTGCGACTCATTTTGACTTTCAACGTGATTCTTTCTAATGAATGACGTGGCAGAACGTAGAATTCTTATTGGATGGGATCCAAGTGTCAATACAATTAGAGGGTAGTGCATTCGTGCTATTTAGTGTTGGGAAACGGTGCGATCTGGTCCAATGCAAACCATATATACGATTTATGGTCCAGAGTGAGAGGCCGAAGTACAGACCACAGATCAGACCACAAACTTTACGGTCTGGTTTGGTCTGATCTGGTCTAGATAGACCACAATCAACGAAAAATGAATAATTTGTTTAGTCAACCACACAAAAATTGAACCAATAACCAATAAAAATAATTATTATTTGCCTTAAAACATTAATCCTAACATGCATGAATAATTTTGATACCATAAATCTTAGTACATAACAAAGATACAAAGTAAAAGCATCCCAACTTGCACCATAACGGCATAAAACATTAATGCAATGTGATATGGAGACACGAGTATCTCTACTCTCTGGTTAAATGTGGTTATGAATGAAGGAGGGACGAGATTCACAAAACTAAGATTGAGATTTTGGTGTCGTTGTGGGAGTTGGGAGAGTGGTCGAATGAGCCGTAAACACGTATTGACAAGTCGGTTGGATCCACGGTTTTGTCCGGTAAACTGCTGTCCAGACCAGACCAAACCAAGAGATCAAAACATAAAATAATACAAACCATGGACCAGACCAGCCATACATAACGGTCTACGGTCCGAACCAAACTGTGTCGTACAGTTTGGAGCACGGTTGTTCTAACGGTCTGGTCTATTTTCCCAGCCCTAGTGCTATTGCGCCACTTCATCCGCACGGTTTTACGAGGGGGTTTTCTCACGAATTGTAAAACCATACCGTAAATCGTATTGGGAAAATCAACGGTAAAGTATTATGCTGAAATTGTAGTTTTACCATTTCATATCGCTAAATACTGCCTACTGACTTACAATAGGAAATTTCTCTAGTCGAACTACTGATACACTACGATTTTTCAATCATTGATTTTTTGTACTATGCAATTAGGGGTGTTCAAATGGTTATCATGGTAATTACCAAACCAAATAAGTCTAAATTTTATTAACCATGGAATACAATATCATAACCAAATCGTCCAAACTAATACAACAATCAAATGAACCAAATTAAAGTTTAATCGGTTTGATTAATTAGTTAACCAATATAATATCACATTATCATTAAGCGAGAAAAATTTCCGGTTAGTGCATCGGTTCGCAATTTTTATGATGAATAACACATAACAATCCACATAATTAGAGTTTTAACTCTTAACGTAAATATATGCAACATGTAATAATACAATTATCTTACATTTGACTCTTGAGTGGTGTAACAAATTATTAAGTATGTGTATATAATATATAATAGATACATTGCTAATTACTTAACTGGTTAATTTGATTGGTTAGGAGTGTCTGAACCAAACCAAACCACCAACACCAAACAAGCTAGATTTTTTAACCAAACCAAACCATTTATCCAAATTAACCAAATCAAATTAGCTAAATACTACCAGTTAAAATAGTTACCACGATAACCACACCGTTTGAACACTCCTATATGCAACCTAGGTTCATTTTGTCAACTCTAAATGTAACTATATTTTAATCTTATTTAATTAATAGGGGTAATACTAATTATTAGACAATTCTTTTCTGCATTCTTTTTTATAATCCAATTCTATTGAATTACTAATAATTAGTCAAATGTTAACTTTTAGTAAGCGACTTTGTTAGTAATATTGACTTGCCAATATGATACTAACGAGGAAGAGACACAATAAGGTCAATATTCCAAAACTTGAGTATTTTAATTAAGAAAAAATTTACAAATTCATTAACGATAACATAAAATGACTAATATTTTGATACAATACAAAAGATTTGGCTAATTATTAATAATTCAATAGATTTTACTAATAAAAAGAATGCAAAAAGTTTGGCTAATAATTTATGTTTACTCGAATTAATAAAATGTTTCATCATTATAAAAAATTGATTATGCTACATTGTTCGTTAATTTTTTGCTACTGTTTTGTGCAAATCAAGAATTGTAAAATTATACTGCAGTACTGGAAGTTGTACCTGATAAGTCAGCGGTAAGATATTTTATGTTGACATCGTAGTTTGAACATGATTAAACCGTTTTATACCTCTAAATACCGCCTACAAATTTAGCATCCGATAGGAGGTTTTTCTGATCAATACGTCGGTAGATTACAATTTTTCAATTCTTGGTGCCAATTCAGCTCGGTTCAACCTATACTCGGACCATCCCCGGGTAACCGAGAAAAACTTTGTGCCCCAAGTCACAATTTTGAGTGGTATAAAAAACTGCTTGGTGGCCAAGCCATTAGCAGACCAATCATATCACGCCGCGTCATCCTTACTACAAAAGGACTAGTGCTTTTTACATTTTTTTAATTATTCCTTCCTATCCTGCTCTCCCAGTCCCACCGAACCTTCCAGATAGTAAAGCGGGAACGAACTTTCCAGACTCCCAGCTCCCATTATAAACGCCTCTCCTCCTGCCCTTGATTCCTCGCTTTCCTCTGCCAACGCAATTTCCGGTCTATCAATTCCACAGCCAAACAAACAACCCTTCCCTCCGCTCAAATTTCTCTGCAAAAGTTTCTCCAAAATGCCGAGCAGGACAGCCGGCGTGATCTCCCAGGACTGGGATCCGGTGGTGCTGAGGAAGAAGCCGGCGAAAGGCCACGAACGCGACCCCAAGGCCGTGAACCAGGCCCTCCGAACGGGCGCGCCGGTCCAGACGATCAGAAAATCGGACGCCGGTTCGAACAAGAAGCCGACCGCCGCGCCGGTGGTGAACGCGCGGAAGCTGGACGAGCTGACGGAGCCGGCGGCTCTGGACAGGGTGCCGGCGGAGGTGAGGCAGCTGATCCAGAAGGCGCGGCTGGAGAAGAAGATGAGCCAGGCGGAGCTGGCGAAGCACATCAACGAGCCGCCGAAGGTCGTGCAGGAGTACGAGAACGGGAAGGCGGTACCTAACCAGGCGATCCTGGCGAAGATGGAGAAGGTGCTCGGCGTCAAGCTCAGGGGGAAGGTCGTCTCCAAGTAAATAAACAACAGAAAGAAAGTGCGCTCGATGGCCAGTATTATGTAATTAGTAACTAGCGTTTCCTTGGGATTGTGGTTGGGGATTTGGACATAGGTGTTTGTTTGTGCCTTGCCTGTAATTTCGTTCGTTCACTGAAATGAGAATTGCTTGAATTTCGCAAATCGTTTCGTCCGGGGTGACGTTGATTCAGGGTTGAGGCCAGAATAAATGTTCAGTTCAGGGGCAGAGCGCGGTGGCTACGGTTAATGTAACGATCATTCAATAGGTTTGCGCCCTTTCACAGGCAATGGATCATCAGGACAATAGGCAAACCCAGAAAGTTCCTGGATTGTTGTCGAAACCTGCTGGAAAGAGCGGGCGCCTGTTCGTGCACATTGATGAGACGAGATGTACCATGCTGAATAATGTATGAGGTGGATATTCTTAATTCACCAGTTCAAATCCCATTGGATTGATTGGATCTAACATTGACAAGCAAAAACCACGATACCCTCTGCTTTCATGTGTAAACTTCTTTAGGTTAGACCCGAGATAACGTAAACATCGTAGCAATTAGGTCCGAGCTTGCCAAAATCACCAATTGCACTGCATCAATGTGCCCAGAAGAAAAGCATACTTGCACTAACAGTGCCCCTACAGCAGCATAAGAAGCAGCAGCATCCACGACGCGAATCCGAGATCGCAGAGCAGTACTATCGACGATCGCAAATCCATAACTTGTTCCCACTTCCCACCATCACCGAGATCATAGTTAGCCTGACGGCAATACATAAAACGACGTTACAAAGTTAACATACTGATCGAACTGTAGAATCAATATGAAAATAGGTAAGAGGTGTGGAGTTATGATTCACACCTCTTAAATTGTCTCCAGAGTTGCTTAAGTGCATGACATAGAAGCCTTGGCGAATGCCCTTGGTATAGCCTGAGAGCAAACCATACCACAATTCGAACTTGCAAAGCCAAAATGGATTCTGCAACTTTTCTTTCTGCAAACAACCAAGAAAGGGCTCAATCCATCGAAGCCGCAAAGATTGAGATGGAAACATTCAAGAAAAGGTAAGTTACTTCTGTCGCCTGCGGCTGTTTGTTTATTGGTAGATAATGCTCCGGAGCAGCTACATCTGCACATGAATCTAGGAACACAGGGGGATAATGGAGTAGGCAGAATCTTCCTTGCATCTCATCTGCTCTCTCAACTGACGGATCGCCAGCCTTATTTCTTCCCATAGAGGATGTTCTTTGCTTCCAGCTATGAATTCCGAGACCTCGCCGTCAATCTCTATAGCACTGCTGCCAGCCTTCTTTCTAGCTCCATTTCTCTTCATCAATCCCTTCACCTCCTCAACTTCTCCCCACCGCTTATCCGTGGCATACAAGTTACCCAGCATAACATAATTCCCGTCATTCCCTGGCTCAACATTAACAGCCTGATTCAGGACGCTTTCAGCCCTGGCGAAGTCCTTGGAGTTCACACAGGCTGAGAGGAAAGAGCTCAGAATTATCCCGTTAGCCTCAAAAGGCATGCTGTGGATCAAACTTTCAGCTTCCTCCAAGCACCCACCCCTCCCCAACAGATCAATCATACATCCATAATGCTCGATTCTCGCGGTGAGACCCAAACCATCCATTGCACCGAACCACCTCCTCCCCTCGTGTATGAGCCCGCCGTGGTTACAAGCACACAGAACGCCTAGCATGGTTATTTCGTTAGGTTTGAATCCTTGAAGCTGCATGTCTGCGAACACCTGCATCGCTTCCCTGGCACCTCCATTGACTGCTAGCCCATTGATCAGAGCATTCCAAGAAGTTGTTTCCTTGTTAGGCATCTGTTCGAAGACTCTTCTCGCTTTGGTGGTTTCGCCACATTTTGCATACATATCAATAAGTGCGGTGCAGACTTTGGTAGATCGATCGAGTTTCCTCCTGCCGACGTAGCGGTGAACCCAACGACCCAATTCCACAGCCCCCATATCAGCAATAGCTGGAAGGATGCTTACAATCGTTACTTCATCTGGTTCAAGCGATGTGTTTGACTGCATCACACGAAAAAGTGCCAGAGCTTCATGTGGCTGCTTGTTCTGGCAGTACCCACCAATCATGACATTCCAGGAGAATTGGTTCTTCTCAGGCATAGAATCAAATAGAAACCTGGCAGATGGAATGTCAGCAACGTTGCAGTAACCTTGAATCATACTAGTCCATGAGACCACATTCCTATGCGGCATCTTATCAAACAAGGATCGGGCAGAGTTCATATCCCCCGCTTTGACATAACCGTCGATCATTGCGTTAAAAGCCACGCAATCTTTCTCAGGCATCTGATCAAAAAGAAGTTCCGCACGATTCAGATCCCCACACCTTACATAACCGCCTATCAAAGCCGTCCATGAGGCAACACTTCTCTCAGACATTTCGTCAAACAGCTTGCTTGCGGAACACAACACCCCCAGCTTTGCATACATATCAACCACTGCAGTGGCCAAATACGAGTCCAAGCAGAACCCGAACTTCACAACTTGAGAATGCATCAGCAGGCCTTCACCAAGAGCCCTGCTCAGCCCACAAGACTTGGCCAGAGAAGTAAAGGTGAAATTATCAGGACTGAAACTCGTCGTCCGCCTAAGATGTCGATAGAGATTGACGGAGTCAACAAACTGGCGCGCGCCCACATGGGCCTGGATCATGGAGTTGCAGACGAAGGTGTCGCCTTCGCAGGGACGACGATCGAACACCTTGCGGGCATGGGCTATGGTGTCCAGGTGCGCGGCCGGGGTGGAGGAAGCCATTTGAGCAATTGAAGCGCATGAAGAGATGAACTTGGCGAGAATGTTCAGGTTGTTGTGAAGGGAATACTTGACGATCGCCGCATGAACCTGGAAGAGATGCTTCTTCGTATTGCTTCGTTGAAGAAGCGCGAGGCATTTTCGTTCTATCGCGGTCCACTGCTGAACAGGTTGCATCGATCCGTATCATCGTCGAAATCAGTTTCGGAGAGTGAAACGGCCGGCGAGGGTGAGCATTCGGTGCGAGTTACGACCTTGATCTCCGAGGAGGGGCACGAAAAATCTCCTGTGACCTAGGGGGCGGCGGCGCTGCGAATCGCCGTCGATTGTAGCTTTGGATCGACGAAGGATGTGCTGCTAAAGCAAAGGCTCAAAGGAGATGGGGCCGGTTGGGTAGTCCTCATAAGGTTTTCGTTTCTTTAATTTTGGGCCTGAGTGGTAATATGGGTATTGGGCTTCGGATCTTTTTCCAAACAAAGCCTACAAAAAGAAACAGCCAACCAAGGTAGCACTGAGTTCGGTTAGGTTGGGTTGGATGGGCAATTGGTAGATGGCGGATGGTGGATGGATTTGATAATTTTGATGGTTTAAAATGTGTTTTCAGATAATAAGAAATTTATGGAAAGAGATCAACACGTCTTCACAATAAAAACACAAGAAAGCTATAGAAAGAGGTCAGTCGTCCGACCACATACCTCACCCCCTAAAACCTGGGGTGGCAATTGAACTCGAAACCCCGTTACCCAACTCGGCCCGTCGTAGTCAAACTAGGTAAACCCCAATATTTACTAGTATCGGATCAGATGCAAGTTCTACTCGCTTTTGAAATTGTCGGATGGGTTGAGTGTGGATATTGTCAAAACCTCACATGCACCAAAAAAATTGACATCATTGTGTATTTAAGCTTGATAATATGGAAAATTTTATAAATATTAATTTTTATGACAATATAGCCCTAATCATGTAGATAATTTATGAATTTTATTTGTTTTTAATGGAATATAGTTGCAGGGAAAATTTGACAATGTAAGGATATTGGTATTCGATGGAATTTTTTGCAACTATGTCCATGAAACTATGGGTGCCATGCAACCTGTGGGTAGTGTTGGGTTTTTTCTTCCAAATTTCAATGGGTATTTTACTGGATTTATTCGTGGATGCACACGCTCGATTGAGTTTGAATTTTTGGAAACCTGAATAATCAGACATATTGTCATTCCTACCAAAAATAGTAAAAATAAGAGTTGTCATCATAAACGGGTCAAGCAATATACACATAGACAATTATCTATCTATTTTTCTCTCTCTTTAATTCGTCATACGCTTTCTTATTTTTCCTTCTACCGCAACTCCTCCGAGAACACGTGGAGTATATGATAATAGGAAGATGTCTGACCCTTCAAATACCAATGCAACAAAATCAATACCAATGCAACAAAAACAATACCATTGAGGCGAGAGGGTCGGAGATAAAAGAATGGACAACACCGTCGATTGCTTTGATGACTTCCACAGTTCAGATCGCTTGTCCATCGACTCCTCCCTATTGCCGAGTAGAGAGAGAGAGAGAGAGAGAGAGAGAGAGAGAGAGAGGGTGGAGGAGGAGAAGGCAGGGACGAAGGGGGGATGGGGTGGGGTGGTTTAGGGGAGAGGGGATGGGGACGGCGGGGGGAGGGGGTGGAGTGGGATGGGGAGAGGAGAGGAGAGGAGAGACGAATGGGAGGGATGGGGAGGAAGGTGGGAGGGGTGGAGGAGGAAGAGAGGGACGACGGGACGGCAGGGAGAGAGGGAGGGGAGAGGTGGCCGGCGAGTGTGGGTTTGGCTGGAAGGAGGAGGGTAGAATTAGGGTTTGTGTATATATAGAATAATCCAGTGTGGTTTATTTTTGGTTTTCAAAATTATCCTCGAGCAATCGTAATCGTGAGATTAAAAAAATAGGAAAAAGAAGAAAAAAATGGATGGTGGATATTGATGTAGCCAAGATGGCTACTAGAATTTTAGTAACCATCCTAAGTCCTAACGCGTTCCGTGGAATTGAGCTGCGATGCGCGGAAGTCGGCTTGAGTTAAGTTGGAGGCATAGTTGATCGTCACTCTAGCGCCGAGTGAGTCGAGATGGGTTGCAATTCCGCAACCGATGCTAGGGGAGCTGTCGGTGACGATGGCGACTCGGCTGTCAAGTGGGAGTTGGAGAATGGAAGAAGATGTTGATTGTGCCATGATGAGTTTGAGACTTGCAGAACTAAGGAGGAGAAATTTGTGTGGATGTGATTTGTTTGCTGTTGTGGATTTATATGAGTCCGGGCGGGGAACTGGGAAAGGACGAGGTAGACTCGGCGAAAGGGAGGTTTGCGGAAGGTTTGCAAGAGGTGGGAGGAAGGAGGAAGAAGATTCGGGTTTAGTCAAATAGAGTGGAAGATAAAGGGTTGAGTTATGGGTTGGGTAGGTTTTAATGACGTGGCGGGTTGTGTTTATTTTTGTTGGGTTAAATCCGGCTAAGTAGGCGATTCTGTTGTCACGTCAGCACTTAATGGACTCCATTAACGGAGTTGGACAGAGACTAACGGAGAGTAATCAAACATGACATATTTTACTAAACTTAGTGATGATTATTGATAGTAATTTTTTTCAGTGACTAAACATGACACAATTTAGTAAACCCAATGACCAAACTTGGCATTTACCCTGTTTTTCTTGCAATTTTGCTAGTTCGTGTTTCTTGTGCTTCGCTTTGTCCTTGACGCTCATGAAGTCTTTATCATTTGAGGGTTCAATTCTTTAATTGATGAGAGTTGTCGAGGCGGGCGCTTCCTTGCCGACCACATGTGTTTCAGACATCTTGACAAGGACTGTCTCTTTTCTTGAGCTCTTTTTGAAGGTGAAGCACTCTTTGAAGTTTGAAATTTTTATGGCCCCGAGATGACAGTCAATTGTTTGAGCCCTTCTGAAGAAAGGTCAGTTGGATTCAATTTCAAGGTTATCATGTAATGGTAGTAATTTGCATGTACTGGTATTGATTAAATCTGCAATTGTATTGATTTTTTGTGAAATTGTATAGATTTATATTGGTAGATTGTTTATATTGGTAGTTTTCGTCTAATGGTATAGATTTATTTATGCAATGGTATTGATGTTTTTCAAAGTGGTAGTAATTGTCTAATTAGTGATTTCATGTTTTTTTCTTTTGCAGAAAGATTGAGAAAAATAAGGGAAGGGGATCTGGCTGGAGATTACGGAAGTGAGAGAAAGAAAGATAATTGTAATTAATAGATTTTTGTAACTACCTAAAATAAAATGTATTAAAAAAATTAATTAATACAATTTATTTTTCCATACCCAATGTACCCTTAGTAACCATAGTGATTACTACAAAGTAGTAATCACCGTAACATGTCCCCAATTCCACCTCTCCTGCCTCTGCCATCACCATCAAAGTCGATATCTCAAATCCAGAGTAGGTATCAACCATGGGCAGATTTGAGTCCGGGTATGTTGAATATGATCTATGTCAAGCACCCTCCAGGTCCTGCCGGTGACATCGAGTTCCAATTTGTTTGCAAGAACTGGTGCCAGATCGACCACCACGAGCCGAAATTCGAGCAGCCGCCAACGTCAATGATTCCTCGTCCTAGTTCTCGCTTAAAATTCTCTCACGACGAGGCTCCGGAGAGATCGACCATCGACGGCGCGTGGGTCATCCACAGGTTGGCGAGTGGGTGGTGTCTTCTGGCGAGCTGTCAAGGTACGTAGTCAAGGGCAAGGGGCCTTCTAGGTGTTTGACTGTGAGGAAGAAAGGGAGTGATGGGGTGGTAGCGGTGACCTCTTATGGCTCGCGGAAGCCTTTTGAATCAAAGAATAAGGAGAAAAAGAGGCTTAGGTTAGATTTCAGCGATGGAGAGAGGGACATACGAAGAGGAGAGAGAGAGAGAGAGAGAGAGATAGGGGTCGGTTTATGGGTTGATTGGGTTTAAGGAATGGGTTGGGAAAGATGACATGGTGGGTTGAGTGATGTGGCAGGTCGGGTTTGGTGATGTGGCGGGTTAAAAAAGGGTGAGTCGGCACTTCTGTTAGTCACTTAAGCAATTGACTGACAGTGTTAACGGAGAGTGATTAAACGTGTAGCGTTTTATTAATTCGAGTGACCTACATTGACATTAATTTTTTTCAGTAACTAAACATGACATATTTTAATAAATCCAGCAACTAAATGTGGCATTTACTCGAGAGAAACAAGAATGATAATTGACAAGTGGCCAACATGTAGTACAGACAGTTCCACTCATTTATGAAGGCTTTGTTTTTTCTTATGCATACGGCACTTGAGTAATAAGAAAGATTTTTATTTGTCTAGGTACTATTTTTAGTTTATTTCCAAAAAATATGGAAGTAGAGCCCCCAATAAGAAAGAAGAGGAAACACAGAAACAAACAAAGCAAACATCTCCCAAACTTTGGCATCAAACCGAAGATTTCCTTTAGGGGTCGTTTGAATGAGGAAAACGTATCAATTTGACATAATTGTCTCGTTTTGAGACAATTGTACCAAATTGACTCGTTTGTTAGCAAAAAAATTGGATGGATCAATTTGCCTGAGGTATTTTGAATTGATCCGTTTTGACTTTTGAGTCAATTTCAATTGTCTGGGGTGGGGGTAGGTAATTCGAATTGACTCGCTTTAATTGCCTCATCTATAAAATGAGACAATTGGTCAATTTGTCTCATTTTGAGATTGATCCATCGGAACTGACCCCTTATATTTTTCTGAAGTTTTGGGTGGTAGTGATAATATTGACAAAACTAGAAGAGTAAATTCTCTTCCCCTTTATCTCCCATCTTTCTCTAAGAGGAGGACAAATAATCAAATTTGCTTCATCTATCTTCAAAGCATATCCATAATTATTGTGGGGTTATAGTTAGGTCCTTACTCTTTAAGGCTATCTACAATTTGGAGGCTAAAAATTAGAAGTTTTAACTTTTAAAGCTAGAATGGTTTTCTAGCATCATTGAAAAGATAAACTGCTGAATTTAGAGGCTATAATTTTATGTTTAGTGTTTATTAATACAAACTTATGAATAGTTAAAGTTATTTTTTTAATTTATTATATATTTGTTTATGATAATTCGATACGGACATTCCGATAAATAATTTTTGATATACTTTTTTATAGTGAATTATTTATCACCCAATCATTCTTCTAATGGTCTTTTCAAATTTTAAGAATTATTGAAGAACGCTTTTTTAGTTACTGCCTGTCATGTCAAAGCGGTATCGGTAATCTTATCGAGATTAGTTAAAATGTATAGCCACGTCGATATCAATAGACACCTTCCTCTCTGTTCCAAATTAGTTAATCACTTTAACTAATGATTCATAGTCGTTATTTCGATTCCCTTATTTTATAGCCGTTAGGATTTAAATTCCTATATTTATGTAATTTTTTGTCTTCAAAAAGCAACCGAAAGGTTGAGATTTCCAACGAAATTAGTTTCATTGGGTAAAAAACAATATAAATTAATTAAACAAAATTAAAAAGTAATAATTGAAAAAAAAATCTCCAACTTTGGTCCTTCTTGCATATCAATTGTTGCTTTTTCTTCATATAGTTTCCACAACTTTAACCACCTCTTTAGATAATTAATTGTTTTTTCTGCAGTTGGTCTTGACAAGTTTGGCTCGTGCTTGTAGCCCCACCCTCACCCAAACCAGATCTAATATGGCCACATAAAACCCCATTTAGCTAGGGATGACAATGGGGAAGGACTGGGGCGAGTATCTCGATACGCATATCCGTCCCGTGGCATGTTGGGTACATGTCGGGTAATTTATCATGGGACGTAGGTTAGCAGAGGTCGACCCAATGGGTATCTAATTTACGTGTGAAACATTAGAAATATCCATTATTTTCATTAAAAGACCAAGAAAGAAACCATAATATGACAAAATATAGTTAAATTATCAGAGAAATTAAGGTTTTCACTTATTTACAGCTTTATATAGCTAAAATATGAAGCAATAAGAGAAAAATCATAAATAATATGACTAAGATTACATGTAATCAGTTAGAATGGAACGGGTCGGGATAGGTCGGATCGATGAGAGGTACACATGCCCGCCCCGCTCCAAATTAGACCAAACAGGTTGGATAAATCGGATCAGGTCAAAATTGCCATCCTATAGATTTAGCCTTCTATTCCCTCCCCTTCTCACGGGTTTAGCCCATGATTATAGATGTTTTTCCGAGGATAAAAGTGCAATATAGATTTTGGGCATTAGAAATTGTCATAACTGGGCAGCCCATTAGTACGATATTGTCCGCTTTGGGCCAAGCCCGCACGGTTTTACTCTTGGGTGTCCTCCCCAAAAGACCTCGTACTAATGAGCTTGGTGGACACTAATATACAAGGGTTCCTTCCCTTGTATAACCGATGTGGTACTTGGATTGTTCCATAACAATCCTCCCCTCAAGACAAGGACCACGAACATCGTGTCCTCACCTCAGCGATTATCTTGATCCGCCAAATGCCTTGTATCGATGGGCTTCTCGATACAAGGACTTTTCCAGACGCAGAACTCTCTTTGATCTGCTTCCCAAATGCGGAACTCTCTTTGATCCGCCAAGCCCAAACGTGGATCTCTCCTTGATCCACCAAACCAGATAAAGATCTCAAACCCCGAGGTCACCGAACGAGGGTCCACCGAACTGACGTCCACCGCCCCGGATCTGCCGAACCAGGCTCTGATACCACTTGTTATAAACGCGCTGCTACGGATCGGGAAATCGCAGGAATCGACAAAGCAAGAATACGAAAGCGAGAATCGAAAACACGACACACGATTTACGTGGTTCACTAACACGATGTGTGTTAGCTACGTCCATGGGCGAATCGTGTTAGCTACGTCCATGGGCGAGAGAGAGCCAGTTTCACTATATCGAGGAGATTACAGATTATAGAGGAGTATGAGAAGTATTTATAGTACTTCTCCGTGTGGGTCTAAACCTAATCCAATCTGGCAAAGGAAACGGTTACAGACCAGGCCCAGAACCCGAACCCAAATAACATTGAGCCCATACACCGTGCCCGATTACCAGTCGTAGCGGCTGATAATCCGATTCAAGTCATATCAACAGAAATCCTTATAAAAGATCCTCTCTTGTGGTGCAACATATGATTATTTGTATCACAATTTTTTTTTTTATGGATCACATTACGTTTCGCTTATTCCTATCATGTTGATAAAAAAGAAAATACAAATTACATCCGATTTACGAAATCAAACCAAACAAACAAACAAAAAGAGTTAAAAAAGACACATCCCTCCTTTCTTTTTATTTGTTCCCCCCGCCTTTCTAGCGTCACTTCTTTAGCTACATGCACGTACAGCTCTCCAATAGGCTCAGTGCCACGGAGAGTTGTAAAGGGGAGTGACCACAGATTTGACCTGGAGGTACTTATGCAGAGCCTCCAGCCCCAAATCCCGCTCGAACCCGCTCGACTTGTACCCGCCGTAAGGGCAGTCGTTGTCGAACGCGAAGTAGCAGTTGATCCATATCACCCCGGCCCTGATCGACCTCGCCACCGTGTTCGCCGTGTCCAGGCTCTTCGTCACGATCCCCGCCGCCAGCCCGTACCGAGTGTTGTTCGCCGCTTTGATCCCTTCCTCCATCGTTCTGTGTTTTGCATCCATGGAAAAAAATTAAGCCATCAAGTTATAACTCGTCATCGTGTAAATGGAAAAAGCCAGAGGTTTCTTTCATGGACTATATCAAGTCTTACGTGAACTTCATTAGCGCCATGACGGGGCCGAAGATCTCGTCCTTCACTATCTTCATGTCCTCCTGCATGTCAATCAGAGCAAGTAACAGAAAAGGTCAAGTGTACGGTTGCGATTTTGTATAAGGTTGCGATTTTGTACAAGGCATTTTGTAATCAACTATGATTTAACCGTGATTCAACCGTTAAGTTCATACTGCTAAGAAAGAAATAAAGTAATTGGTCTTAATCATTACCGTGACATCAGTGAAAACAGTCGGCTGAATGTAGTACCCCTTCTTGGAAGCCGGTTTCCCGCCGGTCAACAATGTCGCTCCTTCTCTCTTGCCATGCTCAATGTAAGCCAAGATCTTCTCGTACTGATTCTTATCAACCTGCATATACAGGGGGGAAAAAACAGAGCATCCCGTCAAAACCCTTCCTACCTCCAATTCAAATCACCACGAAATCAACAATTAACTCTCTTTCACCTGTGGACCCAGACGAGATTTCGGGTTAAAAGGATCCCCAACAACCCAATCTTTCGCCTTCACCGCCAGCGTCTTCACGAACTCGTCGTAGATCCCTTCCTGCACAAAAACTCGCGAGCTCGCCACGCAGACTTCGCCCTTGTTGTACAGGATCCCCAGGAGGGCGAGATCCGCGGCCTTGTCGACGTCGGCGTCGTCGAAGATTAGGAGGGGAGATTTGCCGCCGAGCTCGAGGGAAACCGGTTTCAGATTGCTGGTTGCTGCTGCCTGCATCACTTTCCGGCCCACTTCGGTTGACCCTGTAAAACTCACCTGTTCCAACGGGAAGATACAGAGTACCCGAAAAACAGAGTAAGGTTTTGCTTAAAGATCAATTGAGTTGAATGTAGTTAAGCGGATTGACATAATTGAAAGTCGATCGGAGGAGTTGATTGATGCACCTTATCGACGTCCATATGGGAAGCAAGTGCGGCGCCGGCGGTCGGCCCAAATCCGTTCACCACGTTGATTACTCCATCAGGAACACCGGCCTTTGTGAAAGAAAAAAGAAAAAAGAAAAAAATAGCACATGTACGTATATGTTAAAGACGGTAGCATTTGTCAAACGGTTTATCAAGTGGTATAGTTAGATTGGGTTCAATTGATTCATTTCAGTTTAACAAAAGAAAAAAAGTGAAAAAATAATAGTTGATGAATTTAAATTTGTGAAAAACATATTTGAAGATAATCTATTCACAATTTACATTCATATTTGAATAAAATAACATATTTTTAAAAAAAAAATAACAAACACTCATATAGTTTAAACACAACATTAAACGTCGACAACAAATGAATTGGATCAATGTGGATTGGTGAATTCATAGATTTGGATAAAATGAATTAGTGTATCATAGATTGAATCAAATGGATTGGTGAGTTGGATTCATGAATCCAAATAACATCCAAAAAGTGGATTAATATGTAAATTATGAAAAAGTTTAGGATTAATACATTAATTCAATTGGATTTGGATTAAATGAATTGGAATAATTGAATTTTCTTATGAATGGATTGAATTGGATGCATAATTGTCACGTCTATGGACACTAAAAAATGTATACTTGAATCAAACAAATAACATCAATATTTAATGTTCAAATTAAAAAATAAATTAAAAATTAATTAATTAAACAAAGGTAATTTTAATTAGAAACAGAAAAATTGATCCGGACAATTATACCAATGATATTTCAGTCAATTTTATAATCAACACCGATTATATCATGTTCAACTGGTCTACATTCTAGTGGCGTGACAACCATGATCATAAACGTAGCAAGGGAGGTAATAATAATAATTAAAAAAAAACTTTACGTAGAGAACTAAAGGTACGTACCTCTTTGGCGAGGTGAGCGTAGAAGAGGGCGGAGAGCGGGGTCTGCTCGGCGGGCTTGACGACCATTGTGCAGCCGGCGGCGAGGGCCGGGCTGACCTTCATGAAGAACATGGTGCTGGGGAAGTTCCACGGGATGATGTGCCCCACCACGCCCACGGGCTCGCGGAGCGTGTAGGCGTGGAGCTCCCTCGACATCTTCAGGACCTCGCCGTGGATCTTGTCGGCGGCGCCGGCGTAGTAGCGGAGGGTGTTGGCCACGGAGGGGATGTCGGCGGCCTTGCCCCAGGCGAACAGCTTGCCGGCGTTGAGGCTGTCGAGGGTCGCCAGCTCCTCGATGTGCTGGTCGATTAGGTCCGCGAATTTGTGCATGATTTTTGCCCTTGCCTGATGAATTAACAAATTGGTTAAATTTTGTTCATCCCACTAAAACAGGAGGAAGAAAAAGAAAAAAAATAAACAGTGACATTTTGACGAGTCCATAGAGAAAGCTAACATTGGTGTAGTTAAGAAATTCGTGGAGTTGGGGTTTGAAAAAAAAAAAATTAACTAGTACACAATCAAAGTTTAGTTCCACATGAATGAACAAATTCCATCAAATTCAGCATCCTAAATTGAAAAGAACCATATGAGAAAACCAATATTTGTCTTCCAATAAAATTTTCAAGTGGATTCATCCTAAACGAATGATTTCAAACAAGGTTTTTATCTAAACTTCGTGAAAAAAAAATGTTTCAAGCGAGATTCGTGGAACTCACAAATCACAAAATGGGTCGGGCAAAACTAACTAGTTAAACTAAGAAGCTTTAATCCAACTGCTCTAAACTAGACAAATCCTAACCATCTGTTGTCTGAGTGTAAGTTGTTGATCTATCTTCTAAGTTTCATTAAGGTGATCAACAACATCTTCTCATCGTATCAACCAGATTGGAAATGTAATCGACTTTTTTCCATGGATGGAAAAGCTCCACACTCTTAACATTAGTTGGAGGTTACCATATCCGCAACCAAAATTTACGACATCCAGATGGAAGAGCTAACCATTTAATAATAAGGCCACATTCACGCAAGGTGTATGAATAAGTATGATACCAGAAAAATACGAATCAACATCCAAGTAGCCAGCAGAAAACTATATAATTAAGGTTGTTACTATCCCCACCCTGCCATTAGGGAAAGCACAAAACAAACCATATAACTATAATTTATTGTAATTAAATAACTACAATGTGTTGCAATCCTATCATTATTATCAGGAAACATTTATTAGAGGAATATCTTTCCAAAATGGATTATTTAAAAATGGGTTTCGAAGCGAGAATTTTGTAATGCAAAGAATGCAAACTGACAAAAATACATGCACAATGTCTACATGGTAGTTAATACACGATTGAGGTGATAAATAGTATTTATATAACTCTTTTCCCAATTATATGCAAGTTAATCTGACCAACATTACATTTTGGTATCCCAATTTATTATTTCTTATCATTTAGAACCTATTTGTTTACAAACAGGTCCATCAATTTTGGTGGCAAACTTACATTTTAGTAGTTTTATATTTTTTTTTTCACCATGCATTATAGTAGCTAACGTTTAAAACTTTACAGATAGGTCTAAAACCGTCCATAAGTTGACCCGCTACAAGGTCAAAAAATGATCCGACCTCAAATTGATCAATCCCACCAGATGGCGATGGCCTACTTCATAAAAGCCATTTGGATTTTTTTGGTCCCACGATCACAAAATAATTATGACAAGAATTTCCCCCCACCACCAACGATTTTATATAAATAACTATTTTTCAAGTTCCCACTTCCCCACCATGAAAAAAAAAACAAAAAACAAATAATCAACAACAGGTTGGAAGAATTTCCTGTTTTATGAAAAAAGGGTTGCTCGATGCCAGTCTAGCTAGTTGGGTTCTTTTGGCACTTTGCTCTGTTTGCATGGAGAAAGGTTTTAATTCGCATATATCATCACAATAAATTCGCAGCTTTCAGACAAATTAAACTCGTGACGACGACGGAAAACGAGAGGCTTCGGGAAAACAATCTAGAAGCTCCGGCGGAAAATGCCAAATTATATGGTCATGGGGCCGGCCGGCGGCTGGCTCAGTATATATATATATGGACGACGGGGAACCACGAACTAGCTAGACCTTGAAGTGAAAGCCCAGGCCACGCCATAAGTAGTTTAATAACCACCCATCTCGAAATTATTGATTGATTTTGATGGTTCCTTTATTATTATTTTTTTCCCTTACGACTTCTTTTTCATATAAAAAAAACTATGACTAATAATGAAAGTGATATTCAGCGAAAAAATAATAATGAAAGTGATAATGCGTGGGGAAGTCAACATATATATATAGAGCAAAACAAATGATCATAAATGAAACGAATATATAGCAACATCTAATAGCCTATGTCATTAGTTTGAATGAGTTGTTGATTTTGATCCAAATAATATTTTGTGGGTTATTTGGAGAGAATCATTCGTTTGACAATCCAATACACTACAGTGGTGAGTTATTATAACCAATGTTATTTCTAAATAACTCAAAAAATGAGGTATTCTAAATATCTCATACCACTGTTATTTCTAAAATTGAGTAACTCTTTCAATCATTCACTTTTTCTCCTTTTATGATACCAAATACTATATGCAAATAACTCACCATTTTTTTCTCCCAAAAAAGACATTTTTGCACAAAAAATTATCGAATTACACATAAATATCACATTTGAAATTTTGAGATTATTTGCGCACGAATGCCACATCACAATCAGTAACTCATCCGAACGATATTATTCCATCACCTTCTGAATTTGCTGGACACTAGTATTAACCTATTATAACTTCATATCAAACATTGAAAAATAAATCATTATCCCTCTTTTAAATTCACATCAACTATAATTCTCCCCTTTTATATTAATACAGAAAGTTATCCTTTAAAATAATACGCTTGGAGATACCATAATCCCCCCAATATTTAGTTTATTCACAAAGAACTAAACTAGTTTACACTATAAAAAAGGGGATTTGTTCCATCCTCACTTTTTAATTATTTTCATGTTCAACTCCATTCACAAACACTCGGGCCGTTTCATGGCAAGAAAAAGATGTGCACATAAACTTCACCCAACTAACTAATCCTTTCCTTTACACAAAAAAAAAAAAAAAAACTAATTGTTTCTACGAGTTACGCAATGGAATTAATTAGAAAGTAAATCTTTTGTATAGAAAGCGAAATTTCAATATATCGTCATGACAATGACATTTTTTGACCATGACATGCAATAATAATGGGGAGAATTTCATGTACTTTAGCCCAATAATCAAATTTGACAACCACAAACAGAAAGACGTTAACCATGTAGTAATTACACGGCCACAAATATCAAAGAATTTAAATTAATTACGTAGTAATAAATAATAATAATATTAATAATAATAAGTAACAGAATAAGAAAAATAACAATATAATAATACGTACCGCGCCGGGCAAGCGGGGCCAAGGGCCGTGGTCGAAAGCACGGCGGGCAGCTCCGACGGCTAAATCGATGTCCTCTTTATCTCCTTCTGATACCTTCGCTATCGTCTCCCCTGTCCTCGGGTCAATCGTCTCGAAAGTTCTCCCTGCCAAAATTTGTTTTATTTTTTTTAATGGAAAATACAGAAAGAAAAAAGAAGAAAAATTTCGGCCTTCGGCGGCGGTCGGTGTCGGCCCATCGTCACCGATGATGCAGGCCGGTCCATTAATGAGCTACAAAACAGAGCCGAATCTCTGGCATGGCTGCCAGGTGTCAGCCGTCCAATATCACAGGGGAAGGGAGGGACAGGATAGTAAATTCATCCATCCGACGGGGAAAATCTCCCGAGAACTATGGACGGCGGCCGGGGAGATGAAATTTCGAACTAAAGGGGGGAATTAATAATTGATTAATTTATGATTGTGACCTGAAACAGAGTCGACGAAGTCGCCGCCGATGAAGAGCTTGGTGAACCGTATTTTCGGCGGCGGGATTTCGACGAGGGAGGTGGCGTCGTCGGAGCTGCCGTTGCTGTGGTTTGTTGCCATCTCTCTCTCTCTCTGTATTTTTCTCGAGTGGCTGAACAGAATTCTGCTGCTGGGGTTTGGCAAAACAGAAGTCAGAGGAGATGGTTAATTATATAGAGGGCGAGGGAAGCTAAGCTATACGGTCAAATATATATATATATATATATATATATATATATATATATATTTTGGATGAGTAGAATATGACCGACAATATTACACATACATGCGTTTGTTTTTTTAATATTTCATTTGCCCTCTTGACATTTTTATAATAACAGCTATAATAATAATATAATAATACAAGTTTAGTTGCCTAAAAACTATAATATGTGTGGGTGTTTATAAAACTTATTTATGAATTAGAGTTGGGTTTTAATTAATTCCTTACCAAAAGACAAACTAGTCTGATTCTCATTTCTTTTTTTTAAGAATGATTTAATTTTATTTCTATTTTCATAACAGAATATTTTATTGGCAACACCACTGTCAACTACATTTTCACACAAACAAACATTCACAGTTCCTAAGACAACAAAAGCAATTTACTCAACCGACTATAGTATCAAAAACCTGCCATCAAGATTCAAGAAGGCGTTAAGCATAAGGTGAGTCGTGAGCGTTGATTGGGGGTCTAGCCTAGCGATTAATTCATTTAGGGGTTGTGTAAGCATGCCTAGATGTTGAAGGAAAAAAAATACCAATCAATTTGTATTAAATGGTTAATGAAATATTATTTTAGAACGCCTTTACACTTTAGATAAAATTATTAATAATTTAACACTTAAAATAAGAAAATTAGCTCACAAATTCATAGAACCGTAATTCAATAGCTCACAATGTTCTTGACCTATTAAAAATCGAGATAAAAGATTTACTTTATAGATGACGCTAATCCCCCTTTGATATTGATTGTCTGACTCCATCTAATTATGCTTCGGAGTCACCTAAGTGGAGCCCCTACGCAAAGAGTTTTGGCATTGCCTAACATCTAGACATGCCTAAACATAAAGCACATATTTTTCAATACCGGGGGCTACTTCAGGGGGAAAAAAATTGCAAAAAGGTCATTCAACAATAATTTCCACCAAATGCAAGGAACATCTCTCACGCCAAATCCAGCTTGCCAAAACTGTCCACTTCATCCTGCCTGCGAATGGTTGAAAGCTTTGGTTTTAGAGTTGGCTTTGAACTTCGGATGTAGGCTTCTCATAGAAATAGAAGAGATGTAGCTTAGGGTTGATGGAAATTAACCATAAATGGTCCTTCCCTATCTTATAAATTGGCAACAATCCTACTGTCTAAAGCTGGAATCAAGGGTCATGCATCCAAGGGTCCCTTTTGATATGGCCATTAATGGCCATGCATCCATTAAATCACTCAAAAGCATTATAGTCTAGATTGACAATTAAACGTTTTCACAAAATATTAATATCAATTAGTCAACTCATTTGTCATGCAACTGATAATAGCCCTGTAATTGATGTGTGTTCAGTTGAGCTAATTGGAGTTTTCCCTCTTAACTAGGTCAAGACCCACAACACTCTAAAACGTTGTCCAAAGCTAGAGATAAACATGATAAAACATCAATAGATATAGACAATAGGGATTGCTAATAAGGTTCACATGCAATCACAAATTCAATCTATGAGTTAGAATTCATCTCCAAAGCAACTAAAGAAGGTATAACATAGAGAGAAAAAGAGTACACGATTAAGAAGACATGTCCAAGTTTGGATCTATCTTCCCCTTCTTGATTTTCTCACTACTTGTTCTTTTATGGTCGTGAGGCTTGACTTAATGGAAAACCCTTCATTTTTTATTCTCTCTCTACATCTCTACCATACTTTATTTTTCCCCTTCTAGGATGAATCCCTTTGTGAAAACCTGGATTTGAAACTTATATTTGTGCCCAATCAGGACTTCATGGTCTAGAGATTATAGTCTCGATCTTGTGTTTTTGATCGTGATCTCAGGGAAGGGGAAGTTCAAGATCAGGGCTATCAAGATCACTGTTGTGATCTTCCTTCCTTTGTAAAATTTGATGTAAATAAATAGACGCTTTGTTTAACGTGGTTCTTCCTCACGGTGTGTGAGGCTTACGTCCACGGAGAATGATTGAGATTTTTATTTCATGATACGGCCAAAGGCCTTACATCTATATTTGATTATTTATACCCTAAGCTTCGTACATAAATTATGGCACAAGTTGATTTCTCAATACATGAGGGAGAAGGAATCCCATTGACAGCAATCGAGTGTGTTGCATGGCTTGCATGGCCCTGCATCGTCTGGCCCAATACTCCTCCGCAAGTTGAGGCGTGAAGGTCATGAACCCCCCAGCTTGGACAGAGAAAATGAAACTTCTCCCCGCCGAGCCCTTTAGTGAGTAGATCAGCAAGCTGAAGCTCCGATCAGACCATGACTGAGAGAATATCTCGTGACTGAACTCTTTCACGAACAAAGTAGCAATCCATCTTGACATGTTTAGTGCGTTCATGTAAGACTGGATTGTTGGCGATGTGCAGGGCAGCCTGGCTGTCGTAGTGGAGAGGAGTATGATCCACCTGAGGAACGCCTAACTCCAAAAGAAGCCAACGCAGCCACAAAACTTCACTGATCGTGCTAGCCATGGCACGATACTCGGCTTTAGCAGAGGAACGAGCAACGAACCGTTGCATCTTGGTGCTCCAGGAGATAGGGAGAGCCACCAAGACTGATGAAATATCCTAATGTGGAATGCCAATTCTGTTCACAACATCCCCAATCCGCATCACAATACGCGGTGAGGCGGAGAGGATTGTCGGTAGGGAAAAAAAATCTTTGACCGGGTGATGCCTTGAGGTAGTGAAGGACTCAGTGTGCGGCATCCAAATGCTGTTGACAAGGAGCATTGACAAACTGGCTTCGAATATTCACTACATAGGTGATGCCTGGCCGGATCATTGTCAGATACAGCAGACGACCCACAAGACAATGGTAGGGAGAGGGGTCTTTGAGGACGTCAGTGCTGGGACGAGTGAGATGATGATTTTGCTCCATAGGCTAAACACTAGGACGAACACCTTGGACACCAACATCTTTAAGAATGTCCAGAACATATTTGCGTTGACTGAGAACAACCCCTGTAGCAGTGTGGGAAAACTCAATGCCCGGGAAATACCGAAGGGAACCCAAGTCCTTGATGCTAAAACGCTGATTCAAGAACTTCTTAACCCAAGAAATGAAAGATAGATCGTTACCGGTCAGGATGACATCATCCACATAAATGAGGGTAGTGACAAAGGTACGCCCATGGTGATAAGTGAAAAGGGAAGCATCAGCAGGTGAGGCACAAAAACCGAACTCAGAGTGCCGCGGTGAATTTCTGGAACCATTTACGAGATGCCTGGCGAAGGCCATATATGGATTTGTGAAGACGACAAACCCGAGTGTCACCAGGAGCAAGAAACTCTTGAGGAATCTCCATGTAACCTTCTACCTCAAGATCACCATGCAAAAATGCGTTGTTAATATCCAATTGGTGGATGTGCCATCCACGACTTACTACAACAGCTAAGAGACAACGTACGGTGACTAGTTTGGCCACAGGTGCAAATGTGTTATGGAAGTCAAGACCTTCAATTTGAGTGTACCCCTTCGCCGCTAGTCGAACCTTATACCGCTCAATGGTACAATCGGGGTAGAACTTGATATTGTAAACCCATTTGGAAGCAATAGCGCGCTTTCCTGGAGGAATAAAGACCAGACTCTAAGTACCATTTACTCCAAAGTATCAATCTCACGTGCCATGGCCTCTCACCAACACGCCTTGTGAACTGGCTAGTAGAAGTAACGAGGTTCATCGAGACGGGTTTGAGCTGCAAGGAAAGCACGATAAGTGGGTTTAAAATGTTCATAATTGACATAATTAGCAAGAGGGTACTCAAACGGATGGGAGATACTTCCCTTTGTAGTAGAAGCCAAGAAGGTAGTGATGAAATTCTCAATATGTTTGGGGTGACGACGGTCTTGATCGCCTCGCTCGAGCTCAGGAATCAGGGCCGATTCTGGTTAAACGGCCACCTACAGCTGAGGAGTGGGAGGCTTGCATGGGCCTTTGTGACCAATTCCAGAATCGCGTGAGCCCGACCCAGAGCTGGATGAAGGAGGACATGGGCTAGACGTGTCCACGATAGAGGAGGTGGCCTCATGGACCCGCGATACTCGCAAATCTAGATTCGGGCCAGATGGTGGCGGTCCCGTTGGGTGAACCGGCATCAATGTTTCATGCAAGGAGAGCTTCGAAAGTGTCCTCCACCGGCTGAACAAAAGGGCCCCAACAGAGCTGACGCTCAGTCCCGTCTTGGAATGGGAAAGTGGTCTCGCAGAAATGCACATCACGAGAGGTTAGCAATTTTCGAGTAGATAAATGGAAGATGCGATAACCGTTTTGTCTTGCTGCATATCCAAGAAAAAATCCAGCACGGCCTCGTTCTCCGAATTTGTCAAGATGACCATGTGTGTCCTTATAATACACCAGGCAACCAAACACACAGAGATGCTTATAACTGGCCGCTTTGCCAAATAGAAGCTCATAGGGTGTTTTCCCAGTAGCTCTCGTTGGAAGGCGATTTATGAGATAGACTGTCGTGAGAATACACTCTCCCCAAAACTTCACAAGAAGGCTTGGTTGAAAATGCAAGGCATGAGCTGTGTCAAGAATGTGACGATTCTTCCGTTCGACAACACCGTTCTACTACGAAGTGTCGGTACAGGGTGTTTGCAACAAAATCCCCATGTGAGAATTATAATCATTAAGGACATCAGTGTTGAATTCTCTTCCACTGTCAGCCTGAATCCTCCGAACTGATATGTGGAACTGGGTGCGCACCATGCTGCAAAACTGCATCAAACACTTCCCAACATCTGATTTGTAACGCAAGAGATGTACCCACACACCACTAGAATAATCATTAATAATTGTGAAAAAATAATGAGCTCCACTAAGTGACGCAGTCTGGTATCCTCCCCAAATGTCAACATGGATAAGTTCAAAACAAGATGTAGTTTTAATCATGCTAGACTGAAACGGTTCACGAGTTTGTTTAGCTCGAGAACACGAATGGAAAAAATCACTTGTTTGAGTAAAAGTAACCGGCAATAATTGACTAAAAAAAAGAAGCCTTGGCAACCAATGGATGTCGCAGGCGTGCATGCCAAATAGATTCTGAGACCGAATTACGCATGTACACTACACAAGCTTGTGCTCTCCCTGAGCCAAACAAGCGTAAATAGTAAAGTCCGTCCCGCATATCACCTTTCCCAATCAACTTCTTGGAGTGTAAGTCCTGAATCATGCAAAAAGAGTCAAGAAAGATCAAAGCAACATGATTATCTTTTGTCAGGCGGCTGGCAGAGATGAGATTGCAATGAAATTCGGGCACATGAAGGACTCGCCCGAGTGTGAGACATGTCTGTACCTCAACTGAACCCACATGTTTAACTGGAATACTGTCACCGTTGGAAATACGAACATGAGGCCATTAATATGAACTTCTTTACTAGATAATATAGATTAATCCATAGTAATATGTTTGTTGCAACCTGAATCAATCAACCATTCTGATTCAAAAGAGATTATACCTGCCAAGTGTGTTGCGGGATCATCAGATGATTTTCCAGAGTAGCCAAAAAAATGCTTAAGTTGGTCAAGTTGTGTCAAAGTAAACCCAGGGACATGACTAGCCTCCGCATCTACCTACGAGGCTTTTGGTTCACGGCTTGGACCTTCACTGGAGCTTCTATTACGATGACGGTCGCGGTCCCTCGGAGGTTTGTCACTCTACCTTTCTCGCGACGGATAACCAACAAGCTCCCAGCAATTCTTACGAAGATTACCTTGACGTTGGCAGTGAGTGCAACGCGGCCGCTCCCGTTGCTCCTTCGTTCTGTGCATCTCCCCGGTACGACGCTGATCTCTTTCAGCTTCTCCCTTGGCCACGAAAACCATGGCTCCAGGCTGATGTTGGCGATTTTGGGTGAGAGTCTTTTGATGCTCCGCATTCATAATCATGTTGAAGGCCTCAGAGAGAGTAGGAGTCGGCTTCATGGCTAGGATTTGCATCTACACTGGTCCAAACGCGTCATCGAGGCCCATAAGGAAATCAAACAGGCGAGCACTTCCTTGTTGTTCGCGTACTCGACGAGAAACTCCTAAAGCAGTGGCGGACCAAGGATTGTCAGAGAGGTGTGTCGCCGATAAAATATGATAATAATTAAAAAATTAAATAAATTAAATTAAAAATTAATTAGAAATTATTAGAAATTAATTCTATAAAGCTCACAATGTCATGTTTATAACGAATCACAACGACTTTTTATCTACTGAAATGTCCCTTAAATACATTCATCACATATGCTGCAAAGTAAATCTTTTTCGAATATACATAACTAAACAATCATTCATAAATTGGTCACTCAACCGATCTCAAAAATCGTTCTTGTTTATCTTCATAGCTGAAAATGCTCTTTCGCAACTTGCAGTTTCAATAGATAAAGTTAATACCAACTTTAAAAGCAGATATTCTGGTGGGTCTTGGCCATGGGTGTTTGGGCCTTATTGGGTTTGTTTTGTTTCTCCCTTAATGAAAGGACCAGACACAACACACATGTACATTGGTATGATATGTGAGTTTTTTAATAGCAATTGATAGGATTATGAGTTATTTTAAACATATTAAAAAGAATTATTGTTAATTAAATTTTAAGATTGATTCATTTAAATTATAAAATTATTTCAGTCTAATGAAGGTGTGTCGCCTATAATTATCGAAGGGTTGTCAGAAGTCCTGATCTAAAAAGATTTTTACCAAAAATATATAGGTCCTTCACAAAATTGTCCGACACACCCGCCCTTGCCTTAGGTCTGCCCCTATCCACAAGTGCACAAGCCTCATGTACATATTGGAAGAGGGGCGACCGCCGATGCTTCTTCCAAGTTTGAACGAAGCTTTGTGTAGAAGGTAGACACCAGTTTCTTTTCTTGGTGCAGAAGACTGATAAGTCTCCGCAGTTCATAAGCTCGAGACGAGCTCCCTTGGCCAAAGCGCTCGCGAAGATCAGTCCAAATCTTAGCGGCGTGTTCGGAAAATCTGATGCTACTATGAATTTGTTTGTCCATGAAAGTTTTTAACTATCCTTTCACCATTGCGTCGCATCTGAGCCCCGCGTTCATCTCGATGGGGTACTTAGGTTTTGGGAGACTTCCGTCGACAAAACAGTACTTTTTTTTAGCAACCAGCGTGTCCTTCATGTCGATGACCCAGTCGTCGTAATTCGAGGTCGTCAGGATCTCGCCGACTAGCATATTTCCAGGGATGTCATTGTTGTGGAGTTGAAGAACGGACGAAAGACCATCGTCCGTGCTGCCAGACGAAGAGGAATCGACTGACTTGTTCTTGTCATCTTTTACGTCGTCCATGATTGACGAATGACACGGAAACACCTAGAACTTAGGGCTCTGATACCATGTAAAATTTGACATAAATAAATGGACGTTTTGTTTAACATGGTTCTTCCTCATGGTGTGTGAGGCTTACATCCACGGAGAATGATCGGGATTTTTATTTCATGATACGGCCACAGGCATTACACGTATATTTATACCCTAAGCTACATACATCAATTAGGGCACAAGTTGATTTCTCAATACGTGAGGGAGAAGGACTCCCATTGACAACAGCCAAGTGTGCTACATGGCTCGCATGGGCCTGCATCGTCTGGTCCAATATCCTTTGGTCGTGATCTTATGGTTCATTCCTACACTTCCTTACATGCCATGACTGTAATGCCCCCACCCCTCCCCTTCTTTTGGTCGTGAACTAAGTTGAATTTGCCTCCTTTTCAAGTATCAAATAACCCGAAACTTGCTCCAAACCTTTCTTGATATGCTAGGACCTAAAACAATATGAGATAACACACACTAGCATAAATGATTAAGGATGAGAAGATTGCAAGTCAAATGGCCAACAAATGGTTGAAAACTTGAAATCGTCGTTGTAGTGGAAGATAAAATCGAATTTATTTTTTCCTCTTTCAAAAAAAAAAATGAAAAAGGAAAAAGGAAAAATTCACTGTGATACATTCGTATTGTGTTAATTCTTAGAATATCTTTAATTAGCTACATTTAGCACAATAACAACCTACAATAGCCAAAATATAACTATGGCATTAAAGTCTAAGAAATAAAATCTATAATATACATAAATTATCCCTTATCTGTTGTAGGCGTCGAGCACGAGACAAATCAGCCTTCTCCTTTGTTTTCTTGACTGGCTACAGCACTTGCAAAACCCTTATCGTAACTTTCGCCAAGAACAGATGATAGAGTTTCAACAAGAACAAGAGTTTGATCGAAGGAAGATTTCCTCCTCACTCATGTTTGAGACACAACACACTTGGTCTTGGTGGAAATGGACCAGCGCCCAATAATTAATCACTTAAAACTTACCCACAAGCCCACTCAGACTCTTCTGTTTGGCCTGCACACTTCAAACGCCAGACCCAAATGACTTACCTAATACTCACCGTTTCACCCACACAATTTGCTCCTTCCCATCACTCGGATTGGATCAAACTATCCCATGCAGCTTACCTTTAACCCAGAAGTAAGAAAAGAGTAAAACTGTTTAAGAACAACAGAATTAACTAAATGCAGAAAGTAGAACAAGACACCAATTTTTACGTGGTATCCGGTGTTAGGTGATTAACAAACCCAACACCGACTAATCCACGTTCAGAGATTTGCGCTCTTGCGATTTCTGACGATTCACTAAATATGTGTTCTTGAAGCTCTCTGAAATACACCGTAGTTTCCCGTCAGATCATCACAAGGCTAATCGTCAGTTACTGTTCACACTCCTATCAGCTAACCTGCCAATAAAACCCCTGATACAACCCTGTACCAGTACCCAGAAGCCCTCACCGCTCTTGTGCTGACTTTTCTCTTACAAACTTCTCACACAATACTCTCATGTGCTATGAATTTTTCTCGCTTGAAAAGTCTGCCCTTCCTCCCGTTCCTGGCACTATATATATACTAAGAACTCCAGTGAATAGCCGTTGGACTTTCCTTCTTTGTTTCCCTTTGAAAATCGCCACTTTCCATCCCCGTGATCACCCAATTGATTTTGCTGATTTGATTCCAGCTGGAGTTAATTGCTGAGATGGTGGCGAAGACCTCAACATTCTCCCCCTCAGCTCAGCAATGTCCTTCCCTGTTGCTGTTAAAATAAATCTACACACCCAGATTATGGAAACACGCAACATTATAATTGGCCTCAAGCTAATCAAGTCACAAAATAAATGCGAACGCAAGAAAGTCCAGGACATTATTCCACAACCTTAAAAAATAAAGACCAACTCAAAACAAAACCTTCAGAAAAGTTCAATTCTACTCTCAGGAAAAATAACTCCTCCCCCTAACTCTTATACTACTCTAGAAATCATACTCCGAATCAGACTCGTACTCCAAAATATCCCCGTTAGATAAGTCAGTAAAGTTATCGGCCCGGGAGAAATTATCTTCTGCGGTACCCTCAGGTTCCACAGACTCTACATCTACCTCAGCTTCTTCTGCCCTCTTGGCTTGAGTAACTCCGACATAGGGGTGGTAAACGGTAACCCGGTAAACGGTAAACCGTTTACCGACGGTATCGGCAGCCGAGCGGGAATTTGGGCGACTCGGTTTACCGAACACGGTATCGGTAAATAACGACGGTAAGTCGGTAATACCAATACCGAAATCCCCCCTTCCCCTGCGTTGCGTTTTGCTTGGCCCTTCCCAAGGTAGGACAATATTCGGTACCCTCCGGTGAGATCCGTGGAGGGCATGTAGGTTCCAGTGAAGAGATCCTTCTTCTCGACTTTGGACAAATCGAAGAGGACGGGGAAGCTTTTCCCGTCGAGCAGGACGATGACGCGAGGGTTGGTGGCTATGAAAGGGCCCGGGGGCATGTTGACTCAGTAGACCGTTGACTGGTACTTCTGCATTCGGGATTTGAAGAACTCGTTGTGGACTTGGTTGTAGAAGTAATCGAGGCGGTCTTGGATGGGTCCGACTCCAGGGAGGCCATAGTCGCCCGGAATCTATCGGATTGGAGATTGGATTCAGGGGACGGTTTGGTCAAACCTGGGATGGAGGAGAGTGGGGATTTTTCGAATATGGAGGCTTTGATTGGGCGGAGGGAGGAGAGGAATCTTCTGGCGGTGGTGAATCTGTGGGAGGGTGGAGTGGGTTTCGGGGATTGCTGGAGCTTTGGGTTGACGGTGACGAAGTTGAGAGCAGAGGATGCCATTTTTGTTCGTCCCTAGGAAAACCCCTACCCAGCGACTCAGCCATCTCCGCCACCTTCCGGCTTCCCCGCCGCCCGACGTCGCGTCTCACTGTATTTTGGTAATACCGGTTTGTAACCGTTTACTGGTAATTCGGTAATCGGTAAACCGGTTACAAACCGGTATCGGTAATCGATTCCAATTTAGCCACTGTCGGTATACCTAAACCGGTAAATTCGGTAAACGGTTTACCATTTACCGACTGAATACCACCCCTACTCCGACATTGGTGAGTATCTGAATGCTCTTTCCTAGTGTGGTTGGTCGTGATGGCTCCCCCTTACTCCTATCTGTCAGTTTCCTTTTACTATTATCCTTTGATATGCCTTCCAAGCATCTGCGAAAAGCTGCAAGATCGGCTTCTGTATTGCCAATATCTGCTGCAGCCTTTTCTCCCCCTTGAGCACTATGAAGCTTACGAACGCCGACTGAAGCATCCACACGACGAAGAACATGCTGCGCACAAAGTGTGTCAAGCACATTAACTGAGGAGGCTTTATCCTCAAGATCAATCCCTAGGCATTGGAGGAAATGAGAAATCTGCGGGGCAAAAGGAAGGTATCCGCCGTTCTGATGATCATTGTAGACCATCATATGGTGGAGCATGAGATGAGGATAGCTCAACTTGCGGTAGGACACCGCATTGAACATGATCCAGAGATCGAGGGGTATAACCGTCGAACGGTCGACAGTTCAAGGAAGGAAAACCCGGGTGATGTAAAAGTGAAGCACCTTCAATTCATCGGGAAGACATCTCAGATTAGTAGAGTTGGAGCCAATTGTCTCAATTGAGGACAACCGAGAGATGGCTTCGCGAGGGCTAAAACCATATCGATAAAAATCAGCTTCACTCATTACCTCACGACCTTTAGTGGAGAGATGCAACACTCGAGACAGAAGATCCACGGTGATAGTGATAGTGTGTCAATTCACCGTGGTGGTCATAGTAGCTGAACTAGGACCACTGATGCGCCGCATGTATGCATAAAAAGGTGCGCACGGCCTCCGGATAGTAGGTAAATCTTTGCCTTTCCAGAAGAGAGTCCCAGCCAAGGGCACTGACCAGCTCTTCGGCGCGCAGCTGATATCGGTTGAATGAGGCCGGCGAAATCGTATACGACGGGATTAGCCGCCTATGGCTAGGGATGGCAATGGGTAGGGTCGGGTGCGGGTTTACCCTATACCAACTCCTAACCCGCCGGGTAGAGCTTTCTAAAATACCCGACCAAATAACCACCAGGTATAAAATTATATAACCATACCCTACCCACCGGGTAACCACGGTCCACGGGTAATCGGGTAACCATGGGTACGAATCCTAAACTATGAACTTATACACATATATGCACATACATACTGTTGTCCATTAAAAGTTCTCAATACTGGTAACTGTTCTAGCTTCAACAATCCACACAAATAAAAACAACAAACACATAATAATTGTTCTTGCTTCTAAAATCCACACAAACATAATAATTGTCTACATCTTCATCATCAATAATGGTATCTAAACTCAATTTCTCAAGCTAAAATAAATTTCTCAAGGGAAATTGACCCTTTGGTTAGCGGGGCGGGTATTATCGATTACCATACCCGTACCCTACCCTTTATTTTGAAATAGGGTATTACTCGTACCCGCCCCTTAATCCGTCAAAGCGGGTAATTACCCTCGTTGACTGGTTACGGTCGGGTAGGGTTCCCATGGTTACGGGTTGGATAGACATCCTTACCTATGGCAGAAGTAGCAAAGATAACGAGGGTAATCCCGAGGATCAGGACATACGTTGTTAGTGAAAACGGATGAGTGGAAAAGCTTAGGATTGAAGGCCATGCTGAAGTTGGAACGAGACACAAAATTATTTTTTGAGAGGAATGAGGATGAATGAAGAGGAGTGTGGGAAAATGGGTTTAAATAGAATCGTGCCCAGGAGTGACAGAGAAAGAATCATCAAGAATAGGTAAGAGGAGATTTAAGGCAACGAAGTGATGCAGAGGGAATATTCGATAGAGAGGGAGGGAGGAAATTCAAATGCATACACACTAAGTTACCTATTCTATTGAGAGCATAAAATGTGGGAGCATGAGAACTTACCTCACGCAGGGAATGCAGATAGCTAGCACACATATATGAAAGATATCACTTACCCGAACTTGCCTATCTTAACATTTACCCACGATATGAAGTCCTCAAATAAGGACAGTCCAACATTTTCCTGCCTGTCAAAGATTTTAGAAAGAAGGGAACACCGCGTCGAAAGGGGCAATCCCTAATTCCTCCGAATAAGAGAGAAAGGTTCAGCTGCGAGAGGTTTGGTGAAAATTTCGGCCCACTGAAACTGGTTAGGAATGAATTCTAACTGAATTATGTTGTTCTCTACCAGTTCTCTAATGAAAAGAAACCTAATATCAATATGTTTCGTTCTATAGTGTTGGATAGGATTTTTGGCTATATTAATAGCACTGGTATTGTCACACAGCACAGGCAGAGCATCAAACTCCATACCATAGTCTAGGATTGGATGCTTAATCCACAAAATCTGAGTGCAACAAGCTCCTGTTGCTATATATTAAGCCTCAGCAGTTGAGAGGGATATGTAATTTTTTTTCTAAACCACGAGACAAGAGAAGTGCCTTGGAAATGACAAGCCCCTGAGGTACTTTTCCTATCTGTTAAGATACCGGCAAAATCATAATCACTATAGCCTACAAGGTTCAAACCAGGCCCACTAAAATACCATAAACCCCAAGAAACAGTACCAGCCAGGTATATGATGATTCGCTTAACTACGACTAGATGACTTTCCTTTGGGGAGCTTTGAAAGCGAGCACAGACACACAACAAACATGATGTCGAGACGACTGGCAGTTAGATATAGTAAGGAACCAATCATTCCTCTATACAGTTTCTCGTTTATGCTAATGCCAGACTCATCTTTATCAAGTTTTACATTGGTAGCCATAGGTGTAGTAGCGGGTTTTAAATTACCTAGATCAAAACGAGTCAGCATATTGCTGAGGTGTTTTCTTTGGTCAATGAAAATTCCTTTGGAACTTTGATGAACTTGAAATCCTAAGAAATAGGTCAACTCCCTCATAAGGCTCATTTCAAAAGAATCTTTCACAAGGTTTTCAAAATCAATACACATATCTAAGTCAGACGAGCCAAAGATAATATCATCAACGTAGACCTGAACTAACAACATTTTTTACCCAATAGTTTTAGTAAAAAGAGTTTTGTCTACAAAGCCTCTAGAAAAACCGTTACTGATAAAAACATTGCTCAGTTTGAGCAACATAAACATCCTCTTTCAGATCGCCATATAAGAAAGCACTTTTTACATCCATTTGAAATAGTTTAAACCCTTTTGAACTAGCAAAAGCACAAAGCATCCTAATGGCCTCGAGTCTTTCCACAGGGTAACTTACCATATTGGTTGGACCAAAAAGACCGAGATGGAGAAGCTCAAGCGACCTGGTGGCGGAAATGAAGTACTTGGACTTAAACGGCGACCTCGTGTGCTTCCCTTTTGCACACGCATCACAGAAAAACTCCTTTTTTTTAGGTAGACCTCTAACTAATTCTAATTCAACCAACTTGGATAAAGTTCCTACATTGACATGCCCTAACCTTCTATGCCATTCAAACTGATCGTCTTTGTTTATGGACATTAGGCATGTTTCTTTTGGCACATTTGAACTACCTAGATCAATAATATATACTTTACCTTTCCTTTTCTCAGTAAGAACAATTTTTCTAGAAGAAGAGTTCTCAATGTAACACAAATCAGACTCAAAGGTTACCCTATTTCCCATGTTACAAATTTGACTTACAAAAATCAAATAGTGTTTCAAATTATCTACTAACATGACGTTTGAAATCTTAGGACCAGAACCGACCCGACCTCTTCCTAGAATTTCAGCAGAGTTATTGTCAGCGAAAAAGACCTTACCTTCTTTACCTTTCTTAAATTAAGTGAAAAGTGTCTTGTTTCCTTTCATGTGATGTGAGCACACGCTGTCAAGAATCCAGGTATTTGCCTCCGTGCTCACTTGAAGGAAAGTCTGCATCAATAACAATCAATTCGTTTTTCGAACCCAGATTGTCTAGGGTGATTTTCTTTTGGATAGATCAAAACTTTCAGAAGATAGCCGAAGCTTCTTTTGATTTTCAGAGTTTATTCTCCTTTTACAGTTTCTATTAAGATGTCCTTTAAGATGACAATAAAAAAAATTCTGAGTTGCTATCAGTTTCACGCCTTGGGTGCCATCTACTTGCGCTTACTACACGTTTAGCAGGGTATGACTGAAGTTGAGCATTCAAACGTTTATTTTCATTTTCCAATTTCGCTACTATGTTTACTTAACTACTTCGTTCATTATTTGTAATATCCTTTCCTTTGAACTTCTTAAGTTGATTAATCAATTTTTTATTATCATCTTCTAGTAAAGCTATTGTTTCAGCAAGTTGTCTATTTTGATTTTTGTACTCTGTGTTTTGCTGACTTAGTGTTTCACATTTGATTTTGGCCTCACCAAATTCCTCTTTCTACTTATTGTACTTAACTTCTACTATAGCGAACTCTCGCTGGATACTTTGAATCGTTGTTGTTAAAAGATCATCATCACTATAGTACTTAGATTCAATAAAGTCAGAGAACACACTTACCTCAAGTGGCCTGCCGGGTATGTCTGGTGAAACATCGTTGATAGCCATTAGACGTGGCTCTCTCTTGTGAGATGATGCTTCAGGTTCATCGTCTTCATCCTCAATGCAGCTCCAGGCTACCCTCATGGCTTTCTCTTTTCTCCAAAGTGGACATTCCGACTTAATGTGACCCTGGAGCCCACACTTTAGCAACCGGTTTGAGTTCTCTCAATCGTGCTGCCATCTTTTCTAAACCGTTGATTTGTACGACTTGTGCTTTGTTTCCTAGGAGTAGATTCTTTATCAAACTCCCGTTCTTTGTGCTGATTTGCAAAGTTTCCTCGTCTTCTTTCCTTCCTCATCTTCATGAGTTGCTTTATATGCTTGCCGAGCATTGCCAGCTCCTCATCGACATTTAGTGTAGCGAGATTCTTTGCCTCTTCAATCGCTGTTACTTTCGGATCCCATTTCTTAGGCAGAGACCATATAATCTTTCTAATTAGATCACCACTATCATATGACACTCCCAAGTTTTCCAGACTGTTCACTATATTTGTGAACCTCTCTGACATTTCCCTAATTGATTCCCGATCATTCCTCTTAAACGTTTCAAACTCTGTTTTTGGCATGTTGATCCTGTAAATTTTAAATTGAGAAGTGCCTTCGTAGGTTACCTAAAGTTTATCCCATGTATCTTTTGCAGTTTTGCACCCAAAACCTTTGTGGTATTCCTCAGGCCCAAACGAACAGTACATAAGATTCGTGGCTTTGCAATTTTGCTGATGTTTCTCATAATCCTCGTCGGTCCATTTTTCTTGATATGTTTTAAGCTCATGCGGACCCTTAATAACTCTTGCCCAAAGTTTTGGATCTGTTGAACCAATGAACAACTCCATTCGATTCTTCCAGTACCCGTAATTCACTCCTTCGAACCTTGGTGGCCGATTTTGTGAAAACTCATCCGCGAGATAAAGAGCAGCCCCCTTTCCAAAACTCGACGTCATGTTTGGTTACTCCGGAGATCGCTTGGCCTTCTTCGACGGAGCCGGGCTCTGATACCACATGTTGAAGGCGTCGAGCACGATACAAATCGGTCTTCTCCTTTGTTTTCTTGACTGGCAACAGCACTTGCAAAACCCTTATCGTCACTTTCGCCAAGAACAGATGAGAGGGTTTCAACAAGAACAAGAGTTTGATCGAAATGAAAGGAAGATTTTCTCCTCACTCGTGTTTGAGACACATCACACTTGGTCTTGGTGGAAATGGACCAGAGCCCAATAATTAATCACTTAAAACTTACCCACAAGCCCACTCAGATTCTTCTGTTTGGCCTGAACACTTCAAACGCCAGACCCAAATGACTTACCTAATACTCATCATTTCACCCACACAATTTGCTACTTCCCTTTACTCGAATTGAATCGAACTATCCCCTTCAGCTTACCTTTAACCCAGAAGCAAGAACAGAGTAAAACT